CCTCCAGGGCGATGGCCCGGAGCCGGGCTGCACGTGTGATCGGGGACCTGGTGCGGAGCCGGGCGTGTGTGTGGTTCTGTGTTTTGTCTCTGGTCCCGCCCGTGTTGAATGTACCCATCCTCTGCAGCTGCTTCCCAGGCCACGGCGCCTGTCTGGGCTCTTCCAGACAGCGGTGACAGTCACAGGGCGGGGGGCGGGGGCCGGGTCGTGTTCTCCGGCCTTGGGGTTCTATCTGCACTGTCTCTGCGGCCACCACATTCCCCGAAACCTCAGTGAGTTGCCAAATTTGAAACGCGTGCGCCAGTTGTCTGCACTGAGCCAGCTGAGCGGTGGCTGTGGTCTGAGCAAGTCGGGTGTGCATGTGAAACATATACATATACACGATATGCAAGTGCACGCATGACAATGTATATCTTCGTACTTTTTGATACAATGTAATCATTTGTTAATTTTTAATTATATTTGATATAAATCAAAGGTTTGTTGCAAAACTTTATATTTAAGAACAGTGTTAAAAAAAACAACAAAAAAACAACGAGAAGTCCCACCACACAACACAACTGGGACTCACTTTAAAAAGCTCTGTGATTGAGTAGTTTGCTGCTTGAGTGATATTTATCAGCCAAACTTTGGATTCTGTTGTTGTTTCTACATTGACATTTTGTATGAAGCAAAATCCTTGGATTAAAATAAAACTTAGCAAAAAAATCAAAACAAGAGCCCACCAAGCTGCTGGGTGATGTAAGTGAGGGGCAGGGGGTCGGAGGCGGTGGGCACGTGAGCAGCAGCCCATGCGGGCCACAGAGGAGAGGGGTGGGCTATCGGGCAGAAGGAGGCGGAGGAGCCCAGTCGGGGCCTGCGGGTGGTGGGTGCAGGCAGGGGGCTGGGTGGAAGGGGCTGTGTGTGGGCAAATGAGCTTTTAGAAGTAAGAGGTGAGGGAGATGGGGTTAGGTCGGAGTTAGGTTTGGCCATTAAAATAGGGTTTAGGGTTAGGGTCAAGGGTTAGGAGTTAAGGGTCAGGCTTAAGAATTAACGGGTCAGGGTCAAGGTTAGGGTAAGCTTAGGGTTTGGGGTTAAAGGGAGGGGTTAGGACTGGGGGTTTGAGGTCAAGGGGAGGGGAGGGTTAGGGTTAAGCCTCCAGCTCACTCCCCTCTTCCTTTTCTGTCTCTGAGGCCCCAGGGTGGACAGGACTCATCCAGGGTCACCCGTGAGTCAGGCTGGGCTGAGCCACTGGTTTCTGCCCCATCCTCCCCACCCCCCCACCCTGGACTCTGACAGTAGAAGAAAATGCTCTGGTCACTGACTGCCGAATCCAATTGAACCTCAGTCCAGGCTTGTGGAAGGCCTCGGAGGTCAGCGGGGTTCCCTCCCCTCCCACCTGGGTGATGCCACTGTGCCCGGGAAGCCCCAGGCTCCAGCTCGGCCCTGGCTGACGAGGGTGCACTGGACCCGTGTGGAGTCCCACAGGACTGGCTGCAACCATGCCCGCGCCCAGCGGCAGCCTCCGGTGGGCAAGCAGGGCCCCTGGGCTGTCCGGACCCTCCTCCCTCGGGTGGCTGCGGCAGGCAGGTCTAAGAAGGGCCCTTCCTCCAGCCATCAGGCCGGCGTCTGCGGTCCTCCAGCTGGGCCCTGTCCACACTCATGGCCACTTACTGAGCTGACCAGCTGCTGAGTGATGGACAGCTACTGGGCAGCGCAGGCGCCTCCTGGTTCTCAGTTCCCAGCGCTGTGTGGTTGAGCCTGCGCCTCGGGCCTGCCTGCGGCCAGGCCACGGCCCTGCACAGCGGACTGGCCTGCAACCCTGGCCTCCCGGTCCTGACTCTCCTCCCACCTTCAGGGGGCGACTGTGTGTCAGAGGCAGCTCCCCGAGGCTGCTGGGACTCCGAGAGCCACGTGTCCACGAGCAGCCCGTGGCCTCAGGAAAGCCAGCGGCCTGTGTGCTCCCTGCAGGCATTTCCTCCCGCCCGCCTTGGTCTCTGCTCTTGGTTAAGGAGAGAGAAGAGACTGGAAAACGAGTCACTGTCTTCTTTGGGGTGGGGGGGGTGATGAATGTGGCCAGGGCAGGTGTGATGCCTGGGCCCCCGCCTCTCGGGGACACGAGTGGGGTCTTTGCACCTCCGCAGGGCCTATGGGCAGCTCGGGCGAGTCTCTGGGCTGCAGGAGCTGGGAGTCCCCACCACAGTAACGCTGTGTTTTCATCAGGCGGAATTGGTTCCTGTCCTCGTGGGAGGGCACCCGTGACCTGCGCCATGGCTGCAGCCCTGACCCTGTGAACCCCTTTCTTCCGTGGCTTCAGGCCCCACAGCTGCGCAGTAGCCGTCGTGATGTGGAATCTGCTGGTCTCCCCGACCCAGCGTCTTTTCATGCCTGTGTCCAGCACCTCAGCTTCCCGTTCGGAGCTCATCCCGCCTGCCCCCTCCAGACGGTTCCCCAGGGCTGACCCCTCTGGGGCTGTGATGGATTCAAGGATGAGAATGTGACCCAACCAGGCAAAGGCATTTAAAGGGAAGGAGAAACCCTGCATGGCGGAGTGGCCAGTGCCTGGGTGGCAGCCTGGCAGTGGAGACCCAGGCACAGTGAGGGGTCGCCTTGAATGGGTCCACCCAGAGGCACTGAGCAAGTGGACGGTGGAGAAGGACCCGCTGCCAGAGCGAGGACCTAGGCCTTCCAGCTCCAAACCCGCTCATGAACCTGCAAGTACTTTTCTTTCTACCGTTAAAAGTTTTACTTTATTTGCTTCCGGAGGTGTGTCCAGCTCACTGCGGTCCGTGGTCTCAGCTGACACATCGGAGTGAGTCATCTCTGAGATGCCATCCAAGGTGTCCTCACCGGGTGGGGCACGTGGGGTTAGAGACGGGGACCTGGGTGGGGCCGGATCTTAGCTCTGCCCTGTTCCTCCCAGTCCTGGAGAGGGAAACCCCAGAACAATGAGAGAACAGGGGGGGCCAGGTGCCTGGATGGGTAGTTTATCTGTTCATGGGTGTCATTCTAGGGTCCATTTTATTGCTAATTTACTAGAACGTCACCCACTTTGTTTTTTAAATTTTTTATCCTCACCCGAGGACTTTTTTGCATTTATCTTCAGATGGAGCAGGAGGGAGAGAGGGAGGAAGAGAGACAGAAACATCGATGTGAGAGAGACACATCGAGTGGCTGCCACCCACATGACCCCAACTGGGGTCAGGGACAAACTGCAACCGAGGTACGTGCCCTTAGTGGGAACCGAACCTGGGTCTCTCTGGACCACAGGCTGACGCTCTAACTGCTGAGCCAAACCGGCCAGGGCACATTATCCATTTTTATTTTGTTTCCAGTTTGACACAAGAGGTTTCTCTTATTTGAATTGTAATTCTCCTATTTCTAGTTTTCTACAGAAGTGTAACAATTAACCAACACATTGATACATTATTATTCATCAACGTCTATTTCATTGGGTTGGGCTCAGACTCGTCTCCGTCTCTGTCTCTGTCTCCGTGGTGGTGCCTCCACCTGCTACAGCCCTCACCGACCTTCCGAGAGGGGCCGCCTGACCCGGGCTGCAGGGGCCAAGCAAACCGAGCGTGTGCTGGGGAGGGAGCCTCCACACCGCTGACCATAGAGGCTTCATTCTCCAGGCGGGGAAGCTGCTGGCAGTTCTCACACGCGGGAAGTGACGGGATCAGATCTCTAGTTAGAAAGGTCAAGCTGGCCGAGGTGCGGGGCTTGGACTGGAGAGAGGACAGCGAGCGGCGGGCGGGCCTGAGCTGGGGCAGGCGTGTGGAGACCAGAGACAGGCTGTGGGTGATACCAAATTGAGGACGACACCAGCCCAGGGGTGAACTCTAGATTTATCCAGACCGTAGGCGGCAGGAAACGACAGGGGGATGAGGATGGGAGTGGGTGCCAATCACGCGATGGGCGGGGATCCCTGTCACTGAATCCTCCGGCCACTGAGAGGGCGGGTCACCCCCTCTGACAGAGAAGACGGAGTCTCCATTTCTGTGCCTGAAAGCACACAGCTGGGAGGTGGGGGGTGGGCGGTGGCTGTCTGGGGCTTGGGTTCTGCCCCGGAAGAAACCCCAGCCTGGACTCCACACCAGGACCGGGGAGCACCTGCCGGGCGAGACCTCTGAGGACAGACCATGGGCAGAGGCAGGTGCTCCTGACCTCGGAGCAGATTCTCAAAGGCTGGAGGGCAGGCAGGGGGTCGAAGTGGGGGATCCGTTGTGGTTGAGCCCCTGAAGGGCGAGGCCACCTCCTCCACCGGCCCGTCCCCGCTGCCTGCTCAGGTCCCACCCAAACACCAGCTGCGTGAGTGTGGCTGGGCCGCTAGGCCAGGTGCAGATTTTCTTCCAAAAGAACGAGCAGCTCAGAAGAAGCTGCAAGGACCCACGCAGGTGTGCACGCTCCCCCGGCCCGTCGCGGCCCGTTTAGGCCTCGGTTCTGGACTCTGAACCACGTCAGAATCAGTCTTCAGTTTAAACGCCTGTGAAACGGGAGGTGACAGATGTCCGGCCTCGTCTGCGTGGGAGCAGGAGGCCAGAGGGGCACAGGAGGACTTAAAACAGGAATTGCATCCAAGCGAGCTTTTCACCGGCAGGGGGCCGAGCCCTGAAGGCGGCAGGTGCTCTTTCCTGCATCTCGTCGGCATTTGGGGAATGACAACTTCAGTGGAGGTTACCGCTCTCCCCCAGCTCTCCTTTGCTGCCATCTAATGTGCACCTTGGGAATAGCACCTGAGTGGAGGTCAGGGAAAGTTCTCTCTAAAGGCCTTTGAGCTGATGAATGATGTGTTGGGCCCAGGGTGCCCCAAGTGTGGTTATCTGCGCCCTGGACGCTGCTCCCTGGCATGAGGAGGCCTGCCAGGTTCCCTGGCACACTCTGCATCCAGCACCTTCCCACCCACTCTTACCATGCGAACCTTACGCAACCCTCCCCTCTGGGCTTCCTGCCGGTCCAGGGCAGGGTTTGAGTGAGCAGTGAGCTTAGAGAGCTTCTGTGATCACCACACCCAGGGCCAGTGGGGTGCAAACTGAAGGTTTATTTTTGCATATAAAAGAGGCAGCTGAGGACCAGGCCGAAAGGGACCCAGTCTGAGGGCAGAAAGTTGGTGATGGAGAGCCCACAGAGAGGCTGCCAGAGCCTGACTCCACTGCCAGGGAAGCTGAGGCTGTGGGGGACACCAGGCCCTGGCCGCGGGCTCACCCCCAGGTGCAGCACATACAGGAAGAGCTGAACACCAGGCCCGGGGGGCAGCTTTGCTGGAACAGCCGTCCCCCTGCACAGCTGTAGTAGCTGGACGGGTCCCGAGGGTTGGGGTAGAGTCCATCAGCTCGGCCCTGGCAGGTGTCTTGTCCAGAGCTGGGGCCGTGCTCGGGGTCAGAGGGCTGGCCTGGTGGGGCAGTCTCAGGCCGGGGGCGTTCTGAGGGCGTATACGGAAGACCTGGGAAAACAGCCAAGATCCAGCTAAGCCTCCCCTGCAGCTGAGATCTAACGACGGCCACGCACACCGGCCGCAGCCACAGGCAGGAGCACCTCCACACCCCACACCCTACAAGCAGAGAACAGCCAGGCAACAGCCACACGGACGGCCAGAGCTCAGCTCAGCCGACGACCGGGCTCTGGGTGCAGTGGCCCTCGGAGAGCTCAGCTATGTGCCCCGAGGGCCCGTGGGGGCCCCGCCCCAGGACGGGTGCAGACTCCTCCAGAAGAGAGAAGCAAGGTGCGGCTCCAGGCGCAGGGCCACAAGGAGCCTGGTCACCAACACCCCGGGTGGCGGGGCTCAGGCGGAAAGAGGAAGAACATGAACAGAACCATTTTGACCATGTCCTCAGCTCTGCAGGGTGCGTGAGGTTTGGGAAATCAGCATTGGGGTACAGTCACTTCCTCAGGAGGAGTCAGGACCTGCAGTTCAGGGAGGGGGTCCGTACCCTGAAAGCGGCCCCGGCCCCCGCCCCTTACTCACGGAGCTCCGTCTGCAAGGTCCTGACGAGGGGGTAGGGGCCCTGGCTGCAGAAGGAGCCGGCAAAGTCGTCCATGTCCAGCGCCCAGACCATGGCCCCGCCCAGCCCTTTCTGCTTCAGGTAGCTGACCTGTGTGAGGAAGGAGACGGGGTGCAGGAGCCCAGGAAGGCCCAGCTTCCTCCTCCAGGGGCTGTTTTCTCAGCACCCCCAGGCTCTGAGTCGTCCAGGCTTCTGGCCAAGGCCTGGGCTGGGAGCCCAGATGGCAGAGTCCTGACCCATCCAGGGCTGAGACGTTCTGGAACATTCCTGCCTCCAATAAGACGGTCTGGGTGGGGCCCTCCTCAGGCTGGGTGCCAGCACCCTGGCCTTCTCTGTGGCGAGCTGCTGGGCATGTCTGCTGGTCTCGATGGATTCAGCTCCCACAGGAATGACTGCTTCCCCGGAGATGGGAACCGGTGCCCCCAGGTTCTGCCCTCCCCTGGGCCTCTCTGCTCCAGCCTCCCTGGGGACGTGGTCTCTCAGAGCGGCGGCCCTGTCCCCGACCTTCCAGGGCCCGCTGGGCTGGGCTGGCTCCCTGGCTGGCCCAGTCCCCCTCTCCGCTGTCTCCTTCTACATCTGTCCCCCGCCGGGCTCAGCTGTGGGGCCCCCTTCCTCTCCACCTGTCTCTGCTCCTTCCTGTGGGCCCCCCGGGATGCCCGCTCCGGTGCTCCCGGAGTCTCAACGAGCTCCCACCAGGGCCCCTCTGACACCTCCCCAGCCAGGACCACCCTCCGACCACAGCTCCCCGGAGCACTCTGCGTCTGCCTGTTCCCTGACTGGTGGGGGATGGACAAGTGGGCCGGCCGGGCCCCTCGCAGGGGCTGGCGAGCTGGTGGGAGTTGGAGGGGCCGCGGTGAACACACTGGCCACAGTGCTGACCCAGGGTCAATCAGCTCTGAAATGTGCAAAGGCACCGATACCCTGCCGTCAGAGGGCGGAGTGAGCGTCTGCCTCCCGGGAGAAGGTATTTGCTTTTAATAAACCAGCTCCACCCTGGCCGGTTTGGCTCAGCGGTTAGAGCCTCGGCCTGTGGACCGGAGAGTCCTGGGTTCGATTCCCGCTAGGGGCATGTACCTCGGTTGCAGTTTGTCCCCGGCCCGATTGGGGTCGTGTGGGTGGCAGCCACTTGATGAGTCTCTCTCACGTCGATGTTTCTCTCTTTCTCTTCCCCCCCTCTCCCTCCCGCTCTAAGATAATGCAAAAATGTCCTCGGGTGAAGATAAAAATAAAATAAAAAAGGGACTAGTTTTTCCTAGAACCTTGCTCAGAGCGGGGCAACTTCCTATTGAATCTCTTCTTAATCCGCAGGACGTGGGCACAAAACCTGTTTCACAGGGAGTCGTGAAAGGCGGGGTGCAGGAGGCGCTGGGTGGTGTCCCTCAGTGTCACTGAGCCCCCCACCCCCGGGACACCCCTCCCCGCAGGGCTGGGCCTCACCTTGGCTCGGAAGCTGTCCACGTCATCAAAACCCACCCACTGGTCACCGCGGGTGACGTAGGGCACCTCCTGGTCTGGGATCCTGTGCTGGGCACCCCCCTTCCAGGAGCAGACCTGTGGGAACAGAGCGCAGAGCTGGGGCGAGGGCACCACACACATTCGCACCTTCCTACCAACAACAGACTGGGCCTCGGGACGTTCGTGTCCGAGGAAGCGGGGTGAGCCCAGGAAGTTCCTGATGGAGGGGCCTCGACCCCTGGCGTCCTCACCCAGACTCAGGACTCGCTGGGGGAGCCCTACCTCGTAGTAAGCCAGCAGCCCCGCCTCCTTGGTGAAGGGGCCGGGGGCTCCAGGCCCCGTGGCTGGGGCCCCCACCCGGGTGTCCGATGCGGAGGCCAGGGTGAAGGACCGTCCGTAGGTGGGCATGCCGAGGACCAGCTTGCTGGCGGGCACCCCCTTCTGTAGCCACAGCTGCACGGCAAAGTCCTGCAGAAGGGGGGGTTGACCGTCCCTGCAGACATCTGTGCGCAGACACCGAGGCCGCGCTCCGCGGCGCAGCAGGGCCCTGCAGCCCAGAGCCGGGGCCAGGCCGTCCGGGGCTCGGGGCACCGCGGTGAAGGATGCAGCCGCGTCCCCTCCCTTACCCAGCGACCCACTGATCTTGCCGAACCCCAGGCCTCTGTCTGTGAGAGGAGACGGGACAGATGCCTCCCTCGGGCCGAGGATGGCGGACGCAGAGGGTCTCACTGGCACCATGGGGCGCTGTGACCGAGGCCTGTCCTTCCTCACTTATTTCTACTCATTTCCTTTTGCTCGTCATGATCCCTCTCTGATCACACTGGAGCTTTCTGGGGGCGAGGGTGGGGGGCAGGGGTAAGGGTCAGAGGGCAAGGGACAAAGGGTAAGGGACAAAGGGCAAGGGGCAAAGGGCAAGGTCAGAGGGCAAGGGGAAGGGGTAAGGGGCAAAGGGCAAGGGCAGAGGGCAGGGGTTAAAGGTCAGAGGGCAGGGGTAAGGGGCAGGGCCCCTGCTGTCTGTGTCACTCTCCTACATGGTTGGAGAAGTCACCCCTCTGGCCAGACGCAGCCCTGGGCGCCCAGTGTGGAGACTGGAGGGGCTCCGGGGGGAGAGGGCTCCCTCCTACCAGGGTGCAGAGCACAGACCGGGGCACAGTGCCCGCGGGGCCCCCGCCTCGCCTCCCAGCCAGGGTCTCTCTGTGTCTCCCCAACCGGGCTGGGCGGCGGCCAGCCTCAGGGTGACATGGGGACCGTGAGTCAGGGGCCCAGAGGCTCCCTTTGTGGAGACGTCCCCACCCCCCTCCAGCCACAGAGACCTGGCCCCCTAAGTCAAAGGGCGTTTGAGAAGTGTCTGGTCCTCTGTGAGCACAAGGGGGGCAGGAAGCCCCCACCCTCCTGTCTAAAACCAAACCGGAGGCTGGGGTGGGTGGCGTGGGGGCTTCTGCCCTGAGAGACCCCCCCCCAGCCCCTTCCAGGTCTGGAGGGCAGTGGGGAGGGGCTGTGGGGAGGAAGCAGGAGCCCTTCTGGAGGGAAGCTCCCCTCGGAGGCCCCACTAGGCACTGGCTGGTCCGAGGTCCTCAGAGCAGTTGGCTGGAGACGCCCACAGAGGCCGGCCCTCCGCAGAGGCGGGAAAGCAGCCGGGACAGCAACGCCCTGCGCCCTCTCGGTCACCCTCCTGCCTGAGGCCCCGGCTCAGAAGGGGCCCCTGGTGGCGTTGAGGGTCCTGCCCCCCCCACTCACCACGTTGAGCTGGGCCTCTGCCCCGCTCTCCCCCGGCCTCCTGTAGAGGGGGCTGTTGTGTCCCGTGCTCTTCTCCCAGGAGCCGTGGAGGTCATAGGCCATCAGGCTGATGAAATCCAGGTCCCTGCGAGGCGTGGGAAGGGTGAGGGGCCAGTGGGGGGGGCACAGCGAGCCCTTCCCCACAGGCAACCCCGCTCCAGCCTGGGGAGCTCGCGGGCCTTGGGCCCTCCCACCCCAGAGCACATGGGTCCCACCACCCGCCAGGACTCACCGAGCGATTCTGTCCACCTCGTACCCCGCGTCCACCTGCTGCGCCCCAGCCGGGACGGCCGCGCTCAGGAGCAGGCGCCCCCTCCCTGAGAGCCGGGCTTCCTGCTGGAAGGCGCTGGCCAGCTCCTGCCGGGGACACAGGGTCAGCGCCAGGCGGGGCCCGGGACTGCCCAGGGGCTGTGCGGGGCCGCTGCCCACCGGGGCCCGGCCAGACCTGCACCAGGGCGGAGAAGCGCTGCTTGTCTGCGGGCGGGCTGCCCCGGCTCCCCGGGTACTCCCAGTCGAGGTCCAGGCCGTCGAAGCCGTGTTTGCGCAGAAATGCGATGGCGGAGTTGATGAAGGTCTGGCGGTTCTGGGCTGTGGCCACCATGTCCGTGAACCTGGGGGTGAGGGCGGGGGTGTGGGCCACCAACTCCTCAGAGACAGCGAGGAGCCGCTCGAGCATGGGTGCGGGTGGGCGCTGGGTGCTTGCCCGCAAGTTCGGGGCCTGGCCAAGGAGAAGGGACAGCCCAGAGGGTGTCCTGCCCCCAAACGTCCACGGGCACATCGCCCGGGGGCCCTGACCCGCCCAGCAGAGGCTCCCACACGAGGGCCACCGTTCTCCCAGGCGAGGGTGGGCTCCTGGAGAGCCCGGGCAGCCGGTCTGGCTCCTCCGGGTCACGGCTGGACATGCTCTGGGCTCCCACACGGCCCAGGCCCCTCCCTGCCTCAGTGTCCCGGTAGGAAGTCCCCAACCTTCCTGGGGCTCTTGTCTAGACTGATCTTATTTTAATTTCCTCTTGTTAACGTATTGATTTAAGTGGACGAGGAGCGGCAGGTCTGAAAGGGGCCACGAGCCGGCAGCCCAGCGAGGAGCCCCTGATGGGAGCAGCCCTCAGGGAAGGCGACCGTACATCCCGTCAGACTGTCTGAGCCAGAAACGTTTTGAAAGACTGGTGCAGACTTGGGGGCAGGCACCCCGGGCTTTCCAGGGACAGTCTAGAGGTGTCTCCGCAGAGCATCCTGAACGTCCGGGAGAGGACAGTGTCTGGCCATGGAGATCGACGTCACAGGTTCCTTTCGACACGTGAACGGAACAGAGACCTCAGACTCGGAACCGTAGACCCCGTGCTGCCTGGGACTGACTGGGACCCGGCAACCGTCTCACGGAGGAAGATACTGAGGCCCCGAAGCGGGGGGATCTCTGTGCTGCCAGCAAGACTGACCGCTCGGAGCTGAGCCCAGGAGCCCACCCACTGGGGCACCAGCAGCCCAGGAGGCCGATCCCGAGACCCGCCCAGGCCACACCCGCCCGGCCCGAGTCCCTGCCCAGGGAGCTGGCTCCCCGCCCCGCAGCCCACCTCTGGGTGCCGAAGTTCCAGCCGCCGACAGCCAGCAGTGTCCTCAGCTTGGGGTTCCTGGCAACGACAGAGGCAGGGCCAGGACTCAGGGGCTCGCCCACTGGGGGGCCGCCTCGCGGGCTGGGCCCGTGGGGCGGGGTGTGTGAGCCGGGCGAGAAGCTCTGGGTGGGACAGAACAGACACCTGCCGCCCGCTGAGGGGGACACACAGACTGGGACGGGCCCTCCGAGGGCCTCGGACAGGTTTCCGGAGGAAGGGCATTCAGTCCCCGCAAAGGGGAACCGCTTCTCATCCCGGATCCCACTGAGCCCTGAACTGGAGGCCTGCGGGGTCCCTGTCTACCCCCATCGCCCCCATGTGCGCGGGGGAAGCCCGGGGGGGGGTGGCTGGCCCACGCAGCGCTGCGGCCATGCGGAGACCCCAGCTCACTTCTGTTTCAGGCCATTGAAGTCCCTGTAGAGCTGCTCATCGTTCCACTCGATGGTGCCGAGCTGGTGGCCCTTCATGCCCGCGAAGGCGTAGACGAGGTGGGTGCAGAGGTGGGGGTCCACGTCCTTGGGCAGGAAGCGGGCGGCCCCCTGCCTGTACTGGGCCCAGTTGGTGAAGTAGCAGACCAGCTTCTCCGCGGAGCCTGGCCGGGGGGCCGAGGGAGAGACATGCCCGTCAGAGGGGCTCACCGGGCTCCGGCACCCTCTGCCCGGGGGCAGAGTGGGCGTCACACGGGAGAGCGTTCGACAGGCAGGAGGGCAGAGCTTTGCAATGCGGCTGCGCCCCAGCTGGAAGCACGGATACATGTTGTGCCGCGTGAAGGCGTCTGCTCTCGGGACAGACCTGAGGGAGGCTGGCGTGTAGCCGGCCCCGCGGACACGCCGTCCGGCTGCTGGGCGAGGAGGCGAGACCTCCCTTGAGGAAGGGGCAGCAGGGCTGTTGGGAGCCAGGGCACATGCAAGGCTGAGCTTTGGCAGAACCCCCACTGAAAGCTGGGGAGGGCTCTTGGGGGGCGCGGAGCCCGGGGTGGGAAGGGAACAGGAGGCCGCAGGGTGACGCTTACCGCACGGGATCAGCAGCAGAGCTACCAGACCTGCGCCGAGACAGGCAGAGGTTAGTGGCCCACCTTCCGCCCAGAGGGGGGCGGGGCGGGGCTCAGGGCCGGTTCCCACACACCCAGCTCCCTCTGCCCAGAGGGGCCGGGAGGGCTCTGTGTCCACCGCCCCCCCCCCCCCGGGCCCTGGCACTTTGTTGAGCTGAGCTGCCCCTGGGGGCGTCCGTGGAGGGGGGTTCGGAATATTCTAGGAAAACCATTAGCTTGTGAGACATCAGAGATATTTTCTCTTGAGAACGAATGAACCTGTCTGGGCCTGGACGGGTGACCTCGTCCCGGGTGAGGCCTGTGGGCACCTGCAGGGGCCAGTCCTTGGGGACCGGGCGCTCGGCGGGACTCCAGAAATATTCCACCTTCCTGGTGTCCTCGGGTCCCCCTCAACTAATAAAACGTGCAGGACACTGTGCGGGACGCTCGGGGTCGTGCCCGGGGGCCCTCGTGTGGGACGCCCAGTGTGGGGTCGGGCAGGGACCCTGGGCCGAGCAGCGGGACGGGGTGCCCACCGGCTGGGCTTCCGGGACGGAAGGAGGAAAAGTTACTTTCAGCCCGTTGAGAAAAACCTGTCCTTATAACACAAAATCCTTGGGCTGAGAGAGCCCCAGGGGAACCCACAGGACTGGGAACAGGGGGCTGCACCTCAGGACGCAGAGGGAGAACCAATGGCACGTGGCGGTTGTCCAAAGGCTCCGCCTCACGCGTCACGACCCCGCACACTCACCTGCCCAGGCCACGGAACACGCCATGGCGTTGGCTTGGCGACAGACTGCAGCCCGGTGACCAGCGCTGCCACCTGCCCTCCTTTTATCCGCCCAGGCGCCCCGCCGGCCGCGAAGGAGGGGAGGAGGGACAGGGGCCCCAGCGCGGCCTGAGTTGCGCAAACCTGACACGGGGCCTTGAGCAACTCTTGGCTTCTGGAACAATCGCGGGGTGTCCGCCGGGCGTTCGGCGTTGCCAAAGAGAACGGCAGAGCGAGGGCGGCAGGAAATGTTTCCAAACCTCCTGCCAGGCCTGTGACCGACCGCCTGCGTGTGGGTCGGCGAGGCCCCGTGGCCCCGTGTCGCGGGTTCTGGGGAAGGGACCGGGGGGGGGAGGGGCTGGTCCCACCTGCTCTCCTGCTCCACGGCCTGCTCCGGACTCGCCCCGTCTCATGAGCGGGGGGCTGGCACACGCACCGTGACTCTCACGAGAGGAACGATCTTAAAAACAGGAGAGTGATGATTTTCTCTTCACTGACCGAGAAAAACAGGGACGAACGGCAGCTATGAGCTCAGTGACCGCTGGGAGGCCTGTTTCTCATGAAGGTGCGAAGGGGCCAGAGTTAGGGTCCCGGGACCACAGTCTGAGACCCGGCAGCATCGGCTCCCCGAGGCCAGGAGGGTGCTTCCCGCTGCCTCCGAGTCTGGCGGCTCCCGGGGTCCCGGGACCCTGGCGCGGGCCCTGCCGTCTGTCTCCGTGGTCACCTGTCCATTCCCGGGTCTCTGTCCCTTCCTTTCCTGCCTCCGACGGACACACTCGTCACTGGGTTTAAGGCTCATCCTAATTCAGGATAATTTCTTTTCTTTTTTTTTAAATCTTCATCCAATGATATTTTCCCATTTATCTTCAGATAGAGTGGGAGGGAGGGAAAGAGACAGAGAGAGAGAAACATTGATGTGAGAGGGACACATTGAGTGGTTGCCTCCTGCATGACCCCAACCAGGGCCGGGGACAAATTGCAACCGAGGTTCGTGCCTGCCGCAGTCCAGCCGCAGCAGGATCCAGGGGGGCCCGAAGGTGGTCGGTCAGGCGTCGGCGCTGGGAGACAGGTGACTACACCACACAGAGGCAGTGTGACACTCTTCCGATTTATTGCAAGTTTCTCTGTGCTTATACACTTTCTTTTTTGGCATAAATTTAACATTTGAGGTTAAAGAAGCAGGGAGTTACATTCCATAGTACCAGGATGTTAGTTTCATTTTTATCAGAATTAATTTATAACTTTTTGTGTTTAGAGATACAAAGAAGGGGGAAGAGTAACCTGTAAGGTGAGACAGAGTTTTCTATAGGCCCTTTGTCTGAGATTAATAGTTGACCTTTATTGAAAATCTAGTTCTGGGTTTTTAGATCAGCTAGTTTTTGTTTTACCTCCCTAACTAACTCAGGACAGCATTTCTTATAAAACCTGCTCAATTGCAATGACTGAGATTTCTTTTGTTCCCTTGTGCGTAAGCACCAAGGGGGCCTTGGCGTGCTAATCCTTCCATGAAGGCAAGCTTGCGTGAGGACCACGGAGTCCGTCTGTGTTAACTCTTCTCATTCCATCTTCGTTATATGCTCCTGTAAGGGCGAGAGGGGTCAGGACTCCTTCGCATACTTCTAGCCCCTCTAGGTGGGACCATAGTTTTTCTTTATCCAATAAGCTATATAAGGAAACCCTTGAGCAGTGGGTAGGGGTCGATACAATTTTCTTTTATCCTCTTGAAATACTCTTTCTATCTGGGGAGGAGGCACAGGAGTATACAGTGCCGCCATCAGTTCTACTTGTCACAAACATCCATGGATTGTTTATTAGGGACTTTCGGGGGGCGGATTTTTACCTAATTGAATTAGTAAATGACTAAGACAGTCTGGACAGGCAGTGGTGAGTGTTTCAGGGGAAGCTGGGGTTTCTTCAGCATTTAATTGAAGAGGCATGATTGCAGATACCTTGTTTGCTATTCCCAGGTTAGTCATATAGTAGAATAATATTTCCCACTATTATAACTCCTGTAACACCGATCAGTCCCCCCCCCCTGCCACGTCCTCTCCCTAGAAGATGCCTCCTTGAAGCTTCCTCTCCACATCCGAACTTTGTCAGACGATGTGGTTGAAAGGGGACACGGCACCTGCCCTTGGCCGGAATCGAACCCGCGACTCATTGGTCCGCGGGCCACCCCTCTAACAACTGAGCCAAACCGGCCAGGGCAGGATAATTTCATTTTTAAAGTTCTTACGTCAATTACATCAATTATTCCAAATAGGTCACATTCTGAGGTTTGGGGTGACGATGAGCTTTTTGTGGCCGAGACACCTGGTATGTCACCACGGAGTCGCTGCCTCCCGTGCCCGGGGGGCTCCAGGGTCCGAGTCCAGCGGATCCGACCCATCCTGGGCCTGGACGGTGGGGTGAGAACGCCCCCCGGCAGCGGGTTCCGGAGCCAGGTTGCCTGGGTTCGAGTCCCAGCTCCAGATTTCCCACATGTGACCATGCTCCCTGGCTTCTCTGAGCTCACGTCTTCACCTGTGGAGAGAACCCTCAGGGCGGCCGTGCCTGTGCCTGGTCCTGCCTCACTCCCTGCCCGTCTCCGCGGGGTCAGAGAGCAGGGCTCTGGAAACCTCTGTGAGGGCCCCAGAGGGTGGCAGGCCTCTGCCTCGGCCCTTTCTGTCCCCGGGCGCCGCAGCTCTGGACGTGGGCAGGACGGAGGGGGTGTGGGCGGCGCAGGCTGCGGTGCCAGGGTCCGGGGGGGTCCGTGGGGTCCGGGGGCTCCGAGCGCTGGCCGCCCAGCCTCCCACAAGTAGCATCAGGACTTTCGTATGGTGGCGGTTTCCTTCCTTCTTCCTTAATCATCATCATCATTATTTTTTAAATGTTCGTGCCAGACCATGTCTTCAAAGAAAACTGGGCAGAGACCTAACAAACGCAACAAGGCCCGGGGAGAACAGGGTGCGGGCGCGGGTGTGGGGCCCTGAGCTGTCCCCTCGGGACTGAGCTTGCCGCCGCCTCGCGCTCCTGAGGGGGCCGCGGAGCAGCCACCGGCGAAGGCCCCCCGTCCTGGAAGCCACCACCATCCTCCGCCTGGAAATGCTCACGGGGACCATGAGCACGAGAAAGAAGACGAGGCTGAAGGCTTTCCACTTGCTTAGCTTTGTTAAAGACGTTAGTGGCTGGAGCATCGGCCCTCGGACCAGAGTCTCGGGTTCGATTCCATCAGGGGCATGTGCCTCGGTTGCGGTTCGGTCCTTGGCCCCGGTCGGGGTCGTGCCAGGGCTGTGCGGGAGGCCCATCCATGTGTCTCTCCCCCTCCCGCGCTATCTGAAGATAAATGGGGAGACAATATCCTCGGGTGAGGGTTGAAAAAGAAAAAATGCGGCTATTGTACTAAGAAAAAAAATATATATGTGTTCAACCCGATCGCTGTGGATGTGTCCGTACATCTAGAAAACCCTCAGGTAGGTTTTCTAGATTCCAGAAAAATAAATCCCAAATCATCACAGGGTTCGGTAAGGCGGCTGGATTTAAGGTACAAAAAATGTCAAAAGCTGTAAAATACGTAGAAACACAGTTAATGGTCAGATGTGTGGAGTCTGGGCACCTGCAGGAGGGACCGGGGGCCAGGCGGGGGGCCGTTGGCTGGCGTGGCCTTCGTCACGCCGACACCCACATCCAGGAGCCCCACTGCCCCGGCGGACAGAGGCTCATTGAGTCCTCTCCGGCCACGCGGGCGGTGGCTTCCCCGTCCAAATGTCAGCCGGCTTCCTGATCCTGCTGGACCATGTCGCTGTGACAGCGACTTCTGTCACCAGCGACGGGATGAGCGGCGGCAGTTGGCACGCTTGGGGACCGGAGCTGCACAGGGAGGGTCGGGGCTCCCTGGCGGGGGCCTGTCCGCCCCGTCACGCCTCTGCCACCTGCCTTCCTCAAGTGCCACGGTCCCTGGAGGGCCCTTCCTCCCGCCCTCACTTGTACCAATAATCAATGCTCAACCGTGTTCGCTGTGTCCACTGAAGCATTTTCCAAAAAATAACACACACCGAAGGCTTATGTGTTGCCGTGTGGAGCCTGGGACTCTAACCCTCCTCAGGAAGCAGCGAATGTGCCCTCCCTGCGGAAGGACGGCGCCGGCCGCACCGGCCGCTGCGCTCACGGAGGGTCTGCACTGTCCCGCCCCCCGGCGCGCCCTCCCAACACAGTGGCTAAACCAACCGGACGGGAGTGGGGCTGAGGTGAGAGATAAAACAACACCTGGGCACCTGTTCAGCAGGTCTGGGAACCCTGAGACTCAGGCGGCAGGTGGGGCGCCCCCGGAAGTGAGGGCTCCTCCCCAACCTGGAGACACGCTGCAGGTAGCAGACGGTTGGGGTGGGGTGACTCTGACAACGTAAGTGTGGGTGAGCTGCTGACCCCCAGACACTCTTCTTCGTCCCCATAAGATACCGGGCTGGGACACCGTGGCCAGCAGAGTGGAGTGGGGAGGGCTGGGGTGCCGCACTGACCGGGATGTCCACCCTCCCCCACCCTACCCCACGGACACCTCACACAGGGCTTCAGGAGACCACTGACCAGCGGAAGAGAAGGCTACTGACCCTCTGGGGACATCTGGGGCCCCCGACAGAGTAGCCAAGGTGGGGCCTCAGAGAAGAAGCCGTCAGAGTTCCCCATCGGCCTCGATGACTCACCGTCGTGTGATTGTCTAACCTCTGGGGAAACTGTCCGTGTGCAAGATGACCGACGGCCTGAGACAGGGAGGAGGAGCTGGGGACCTTCGTGGGCGGCCGGAGGGCTCTGGTCACCCGGCCTCCAGCGGTCACTTTCTGCATGTTGACCGTGACTACGCGTTATTTTTACGATGGAAAAATGTCCCCTGTGCTTGTTTGCTGCTCCTTTCGGACAGTAATCCCGCCGGACGCCGGGAGCGCGGAGATCGAGCCCAGCCTGTCGCAGGGGCTCGGCCCGCAGCCGCCGGCTGGTCCTTGCTCAAAACGCCAGGGCCGCCCAAACTCCCCCGTTTGGCTCTTCTCACAGGTGGGGACAATTTTTGGTCCCCACCCTGGGCTTGAGACTCTTCTTATCTTCCCCCAAACGTTAAGAGTTGAGACGCCTCATCGCTCAAGGTTTTAAACGTGATTTTTTTAAAAACATAAACACTAAAAGTACAATCCATGAAAGAAAGAAAAAACCGCCACATTGAAGTGGATTAAAATGGAAAACCTCTTCCCGGAGAGACAGCACTGAGAAGGAAAAGACGAGCCACCGCCCGGGAGAGATCGGCAGAACACGCAGGGGACCAAGACGAGTAATAAACCTGTGCACATTGGAAGGAGCCCGAGGGGGCCCCAGACGGTCTTCTCTGGGGCCCTCTGGTGTGCAGCCCGTGAATGACACCTGAGTGTGACCACGAGAAAGACCGTTTCTCCTGACATCCACTGTGGGACTCCGGAATGACGCCTCAGTGCGGGTGACAAGGAGAGTCCTCTGCTGCCCCCTGCCTGTTGTTGGAGGTAACACCTAGTGACGCCCCAGGAAACTAGTTGTGAACGTGGGAAGGAATCTATGTGGGGGGTCACCAAGAAAGGCCCTTCCTGCTGGGTGTACCTCGGGAAGGGCAGCGCGGTGAAGGTCCCCAGGGAAGGGCATTTTCTCCTTTAATCCAGTGCACCTTCGGGGACTAACCCGAGTGGAGGTCACCAGGAAAACCTCTTCTTGTGCATCTTAAGAATAACACCCAGGCCCAGCCAGTGTGGCTCAGTGGATGGAGCGTCGTCCCATGGACTGAGAGGTCCAGGTTTGAGTCCCGGTCAGGGCCCATGCCCGGGTTGTGGGTTCGATCCCCAGTAGGGGGCGTGCAGGAGGCAGCTGATCAATGTTTTTCTCTCACATTGATGTTTCTCTCTCTCTCTCCCTTCCTCTCTCTCTAAAAATAAAAATCAGTGAAAACATATTAGGAAAAAAAGAAGAACCCCTAGTGTAGGCCATGAGCAGAAGCACATTTTCTCTGCCGGGTGAGACACAGAGAAGAAGGAGACACCGTCTGCCCCGTGCCCCTGCCATCCTGACTCTTTTTCCAGGGGGATCTGGGTGCCCGCGTCACTAGGTGTCCAAGCCAAGGGCTCCCAGGCGGTCTCTGCAGCCTCCTCTCCAGCCCCCCGCGCCCCCCTCCCCCTCCCGCTAACGAGTGGCTGGTCCGCATGGAAAAGAGGGTCTTTTGTGGAACAGACTCTGCAAAGTTCACCAGCTGTGCAGAGATGACGAAGGGAATGCGAGACCCGAGACCAGAGGTCAGCAAGTGTCCCCTGCAACAGCCAGAGGAAGTGGTTCCTGGTTGCTGTGGAAACTCCGATCTTCCCGCCGGGTTAGATGGCCGTCCTGGACAACGCGAACACCCAGGTGGGGCTGCAGTCCAATAGAACTATCTGCGGACACTGAGTTGTGTGCACTTACATACTTGCTGTGTATTAAGCTCGAGGCAAAATTCAGTCCTGCCTCCACCTGTCCCCTCTATACCACCGAGCGGCTGCCGGCCCAGGGCGGGGCAGGGGCCGGAGCCGGACTGTGCGCCCGTCCGTCCGTGCGAGCAAAGGCCGGCTGCCCGCCGATGAGCCCCAAGCCCCGCCGCTGCCTGTAAGAGCTGGTCTGGCTCCTTCCTGAAGCCGCTCAGAAACGGCTCAGTTCTGAAAGCTCTGGGTGCACTCGAGGTAGGCGGACGGCCACCTCCACACGCCACCCTCACCGGGCCGGGCTCTGAGACGGGCCCTCGCCAGCCATCGGCCCCAGCGACCACGGGAGCTCCGGCGCCCTCTGGGGTCTGTCAGCAGCGAGTCCTGACCACACTGTTGTTCTTTCAAAATGCTTTATTCGCGGCACATGGAATGTCAAGCTAAGCAGTTTCTTTCCAGGGAAAAGGGAGCCTGGCAGATGGGTCACAGCGGAAAGACCGCTCACGGGCGAAGAGAGAGGGTGAGGAATACACTGCACTGACCACCCTGCCGGGCTCAGGTACCACGGCGGACTCCTCCCACCTCGCCCCTCGTGAAGGCCCGGGTGGGGTGCTCTGCAGTGTGGGCTCCCAGTTCCAAAGGCCTCTCTACCCTGGGCAGCGCCTTCTCTCTAAGCTATTCCAGTCGGGCTCGGGAGTCCGATCTCCGCCCTACCCTGGCTCGCGGTGGGCATTTCTCATCCCTTTGGGGTCCACCCTCCCGGGCACTCAGATCCCTGCCGATCAAGGCGACAGGTGAGCAGCAGACGCAAAAGCTTCCCTTTCTAGCTCTAGCGGTTAAGCTCTCGGCCACCGGCCTTTGCCCGCCTGCAGGCTGGGGCCTGGACGCCGCCCCGGGGCTCAGGGCAGGCTGAAGACGCGGGCTTCGTCGCGGTGGAGGCCGAAGTGCACCTTGCCGTCCTGGGCGGCCGCCCAGGGCATGGACTCCGTGGTCCACTTCGCCGCCCAGTCTCCTGCGTTGCTGACCACGATGACTCCACCCTCCCCTTTGACCTTGGACTTCATATAGCCCAGCGCCGTGTCAGCAGCCTCTCCCACCGCCTTTCCTGGAACCAGAGGGTGAGAAACAACATGTCGTTTCCGAAGGACGGAAACGTCACCTGCAGAATGAGAAACCGAGCGAGCTGACCGACACTCCTGGTGAAGGATTTCCATCTGGGTGCCTCAGGGAGGGGTGCCCCATACAAGGGCCCCCGGGCCCCCACCAAGCAGAGCGGCCTTTTCTCCCCGGCTGGGCTCAGAGCCTCTCTGCTGCCCCCTGCTGCCCTGGAATGAGACAGACAGGCCGGACCAGGGGTGGGCGAGTCCACAGGGTGACCCTGAACACAGACCCGCACGAAGGGGACGGGCTTAGATCCGGCCCCACCTGTTCATAAGCAGCTTCTAGCGCCTTGTCCCAGACAGTGTGAACTCGGGACACGTACCCTGCTGGACGTGGAAGAGGATGAGCCTGGCCAGGTTCACCTTCAGGATGCTCTCCCCGTGCCCGGTGCTGGAGACGGCACCCATCGCGCTGTCCGCATAGCCTCCGGAGCCTGCTCGGGGAGAAAGGTCGGTGCTGCCGGGCAAGAGCGCAGACGTCCACACACCAAGGCCCAGTGTCCAAGCGCAGACAAAGGTCAGAGGAGCAGCCACGCTCCTGGGACTAGTAAGCACCATGTGACCGCCCTGAACGCAGGTCAGGAGGATGGGTGGGGGCGGGGGCCGGGCAGGCCCGACCGCCTGGAGCGGCAAAGACAGGGCGCCTCCTCCTTTGCCCCAAATGTGCCCAGTGTGCACGGCTGGAACACACTCAGCCCCCCCCACCCCGCTGCTGGGAAGGGGAGCCTACCGCAGTCCTGAGGCAAAGCCTAAGGCAAAGAGCACTTTAATTTGTGATCATGCTGGAGCGGCAGGGTGCGCAGACCTAGTTAACCCTTTGGACTAAGTCTGTGGATCCTGAAACTGGCGCTAGAGAGGGGAAAGGCACCGTGGACAGCTGGGGGCACCTTGAGCATCCTGATCTCCGTCTCCCTCCCCACGTCACCCCGAAGTCGTGCCCTCGAGGGGAAGAGGGCCACTGGGTAGAAAGCAGCCACCGCTCACCCTCCCAGAGGGGAGAGCGGTCAGAACAGAGAAGCCCGCTGGAGGCCGGGAAGGAGGGAGGAGCAGGGGTCTCGGCAGATGTACCTACGCAGGGGGAGTCCCCAACTCGGCCGACCATTTTATTCATGAGGCCCCCGGTAGAGGTTGCGTAAGCCACGTCTCCGTTGGAGTCCAAGGCCACGGCACCCACGGTTCCCTGGTTTCTGCAGAAGCAAACAGAAGGAAGCAGGGGGATGCAGAGGAGCAACAATGTAACACAACGTAGCGCAGGGCCCAATGTAACATAATGTAGCGCAGGGCCTGCAACGTCCACATTCTATGCGAACTGCAAATGCGACACGTTCCTGACTGTTTGCTCTGCATTCGACAAGGTGGTGAGGCTGCTAGATGTTCCTTCAGAGACCTCACTGTCGAGGTACACTGAGTTCCAGCACTGCCATCTCTGCCTGTGTGTCTAAGTGAGGCTTTAATGTCTGATTTCCCATCCGTGACACGAGGATGAAAATGACAGTGAGCCCGGCTGGCGTGGCTCAGTGGCTGAGCGTCGACCCTGCACCAAGAGGTCGGCAGTTCGATTCCTGGTCAGGGCACACGCCCAGGTTGTGGGCCCATCCCCAGTGGGGGGCATGCAGGAGGTGGCCAGTCACTGTTTCCATCTCTCTCCTGCTCCCTTCCTCCAGGTGAAGTCAGCTGAGTGTCTGACCGAGCTGTTCCGTCTCCGGGCAGATCTGTGAGCAGCGTGCATCACCCAGAACCCTTCTGGATCCTTCGCCAAACATCACACTCATGTCCCAATCACGTTGGCTCCGTGATCGCGGGCATGCCTTCCGTCATTTCTACAATTAATTTTAGTCTAATTTTTAGACTAAATTTTTATCTAATTTTTAGATAAAAAGTTTTCCCCAATTCTTCTCTTCATTTAAAACATGTACTTTAAGAAGCAGGTGTAGCCCTGGCCGGTTTAGCTCAGCGGTTGGAGCGTTGGCCGACGGTCCAGCGAGACCCGGGTTCAGTTCCGGCTAAGGGCATGTACCTCGGTTGCAGTTTGTCCAGGCCCTGGTTGGGTCGTCTGGGTGGCAGCCACTTGATGTGTCTCTCTCACATCAATGTTTCTCTTTCTCTCTTCCCCCCTCTCTCCCTCCCACTCTGTCTGAAGATAAAGGCCAAAAAAGAAGTAAATATAAAGCCGATGAGATGCTCATAGATTAAAACTTGTTTTTCTTCTCTGGGTAGCGTCACGATGCGGATTGTGTGAGCCGTTCAATACATCTGCTCACCATGGAACACACTAGCTGAGCCAAGTGTTTAAAAATTCTACATCTGCCCTGGCCGGTTTGGCTCAGCGGTTAGAGCGTCGGCCTGCGGTCCAGAGAGACCCGGGTTCGGTTCCCGCTAAGGGCGCGTACCTCGGTTGCAGTTTGTCCCGGGCCCTGGTCGATTGTGCGGGTGGCAGCCACTCGATGTGTTCCTTTCACATCAATGTTTCTCTCTGTTCCTCTCTCTCCCTCCCACTCTACCCGAACAAAAAATGGAAAAATGTCCTCGGGTGAGGATAAAAAAAATTTTTTTTAAATTCTACATGTGCCCTGGCCGGTCTGGCTCAGCAGTTGGAGCATCGGCCTGCGGTCCTGAGAGACCTGGGTTTGGTTCCCGCTTAGGATATGTACCTCGGTTGCAGTTTGTCCCCGGCCCTGGTTGGGTGGTGCGGGCGGCGGCCACTTGACGTGTCCCTTTCACATCAATTTTTCTCTCTCTCTCTCTCCCTCCCACTCTACCTGAACAAAAAAAAAAAATGGAAAAGTGTCCTCGGACGAGGATAAAAAAAAAAACACACAAAAATTCTACATGTGATTTCCTGTCTCCCTCCCCAGCCATCCAACGAGGCTGTCGGTGCTCCATATTCCAGAGCGTGGTTCTCAGTTCCGTTATGTTTGTGCGAATTACGCTTGGCATGTTCTCAGATTTCGAAGGCACTGTTACGAAACCTAGAAAATTTCTGTTGTTTTGTATAAATACTGTGTTGGCTCGGCGACAGGCATCGTCAGGTGTGGCTCAGTGCTGGGCATGTGGGATTCTGCCAAGTATCACTGGTTCTATATCCTGGCTGTCTGCTCACTCAGCGCCTCTCCGTTCCATGCCCACACGGGTCCTGTTCTGTGAGAGTCTGCGACGAGCGGCTGCATCTTCCTTTAGTGAAAAGCATGAGGTTGCGGGGACTCATCTGAACGGTTAAGTTGTGGATTTAGAAAGAAGACTATTGTTACTAATTTTCAACGTTCTGGTGGCTAAATACGTCTCGGCGGAACAAAGAACCTGTAACGTCCTGACTGTGAATTACAAGTGGATCATCCTAGAAGACTGGGTACTTTTACTGTCTTGCTTCTAAAAATGCTAGCACACCGCTTCTTGAAGATTTTTCTTCACTTCTGTTTTCTTTTTTAAAATATGTTTTGATTGATTTTAGGGAGAGCGAAAGGGAGAGAGAGATAGAAACATCGATGAGAGAGAACATCGACTGGCCGCCTCCTGCATGCTCCCTACTGGGGATCGGGCCCACGACCTGGGCACGTGTTCTGACCGGGAATCGAACCGGCGACCTCTGGGTGCATGAGTTGATGCTCAGCCCGAGTCTGCTGGCTGAGTCTTTTTAGTTTTCTTTTGTGAGCTCCACTGGAGTATTCTTTTTCTATAAAGATCTTGAAACTTACACTCATTTTCAATCATCTAGGAATTAAAAAGTAAAATGTAATTACATTGAATATACACAATTAGAATATATTTTTATAAATATGAAGAGCAGCCCTGGCCGGCTTGGCTCAGTGGTTAGAGCATTGGCCTGCGGACCAATGAGTCATGGGTTCGATTCTGGCCAAGGGCATGCGCCTCGGTTGCAGTTCATTCCCCGCCCTGGTCGGGGTTGTGTGAGAGGCAACCAGTCGATGTTTCTCTCTCTCTCCCTCCTTCCCACTCTATCTGAATATGAATGGAAAAATATCCTTGGGTGAGGATTAAAAAATAATAAATAAATAAATAAATAAATAAAGAGCAAAAACATTGAAAAAATAAAGTTTGCAGATGTAATTTCAAAAAGTTAGTTTTTTCCTCCTAAAATATACAAAAGTATCCATTACTATTACAGTCAAGCCATGAGTTACAATGACATTTAAAATCAAAATTACTTAAAAGCAGAAAATTTGCTCGGCCGGTGTGGCTCAGTGGATTGAGCGTCATCCTATGGACCGAGAGGGCCCCTTCTATCCCAGGTCAGGGCACGTGCCCGGGTTGCAGGCTCGATCCCCAGTGGGGGGCATGCAGGAGGCAGCCAATCGATGTTCTCTCTCATCGATGTTTCTCTCTCTCTCTCTCTCTCTCCCTTCCTCTCTCTCTAAAATCAATAGAGAAGAAATATTAAGGAAGGATGCAAAGTGACTAGGTTACATTCCGTTATAGACGCCCAGGACACATTCACATTTTGTTTTAAATGAGGGGGGAGGGTTAATTTGGGGTTTTGAATCCCGTAATGCAGAAAACCCGAATTCAAACCGTATGAAGGATGCGAGCTTCTCGGGGCTGCGCTGACCTCTCTGCAACCCAGAGGGAGGCCAAGGTAAGTTTGGGGCGCAGCAGGGGCGGAGAACATTCACTCAGGAGAACACAGTGGTCAAGAAGCCCCAGGAATCGACGCAGCGAGTCAGGTTGCAGAAGGAGCCCCACTGGCCAAGTCTGAGTGACCAGCCGTAGGAGTAGCAAAGAGGGTCACACCGAGGGATTGGAAGAGCAGCTTCCCCACTGTTTCTGGGTGCACCTTTGTTCGAAAGCTGAGACTACCCTGCGACACTGGACCCGCTTACGGACTGCGAATAATCAGATGTGTGCCCCCCCCCCAACAACACCTACTTCTGTGGGCTTGGTGTCTCAGCATCTGTCTTCTGCTTCTCCTTCTCAAGGTCTTGTCTGTTTCTCTCGGTGATCAGCTGCTCCCCAGGAATTACAGGGACCCCCATGGCACACGCAAACTTCGCTGCACCGTGGCTAGTCAGGAGGCAGTGAGGAGTCTGGACCGGGAAGAAACGGAAATATGGGTAGTTTTTTTTTTTTATTTTTTTTTTCCTTTATTGATTTCAGAGAGAGAGGAAGGGAGAGGGAGACAGAAACATTGATGAGAGGGAACATCGACTGGCCCCCCACTGGGGATTTGGCCCACAACCTGGGCAACTGTCCTGACTGGGAATCGAACCAGCGACCTCTTGGTGCAGGGTTGAAGCTCAACCACTGAGCCACACCGGCCGGACGACATGGGTAGTTTTTGAAAGAGGCAGAATCTTTGTTACCGCTTCTCCTGGGTGGGGATAATAGCTCCTCTCCGAATGCAAAGCCTCAAAAATGCAGATATCAGTGCTTATGTTTCTGAATGTCAAAAAGAGCCCGGCTCTGAGTTTCGTATTTTTAAAAAAAGCGATGGTATACACGGGATCTTTTTTATTTTTTAATCCTCACCCATGGATATGTTTATTGACTTTGGAGAGAGGGAGAAAGAGAAAGAGAGAGAGACACTGATCGGTTGCCTCGTGTACACCCCGACTGGGGATCGAACCCGCAACCTCTCGGAGCAGAGGACGACGCTGCAGCCAACCCGCCACCCGGCCGGGGCTGCGCTCACCTTTTCCATCACAAGCCGCGCGAGCTGAATGGGGTTGGCGATGCACCGGGCGGCACACACGGCCCCCGAAGACAGGTCTCTCCCGTCCATGATGCTGGCGTCCATCTCCACCGTGCCTTCCGCGTTCAGGACGGCCCCGTGACCTACACCCCGACGGAAGTGCAAGCAGAAGCCGGAATTGAGAAACGGCTTCCGAGCCTCCTTTAAGCTGCCTGCTCGCGTCCACCCTCCACTCCATCGCCAGAGCAACACGCCTGAAAACAAATGCCGACCACAGGGGCGGAGCCCTCCCGACCTGACCTCTGGCTCACATTCCTGGCTGCCTCTGCCTGGGGGGTCGCGGGTTCAATCCCCGTCGGTCGGTCGAGGGCAGTACCTGAGTTGCAGGTTTGATACCCGGCCCTGGTCGGGGTCGTGTAGGAGGCAACCGATCAATGTGTCTCTGTCATCGGTGTCTCCCCCCCCCCCCCACTCCCTCTAAAAATCAATGGAAAAACATCCTCGGGTGAAGATTGAAGAAAGAAAAGAAGACACAAATGAGACCCATTCAGTGATACGACTTGAGGCCCGAGGATGCTAAGGCTGCTGCTTCAGGGAGGGAGGAATCCATACCAACCCCGTCATCTCATCAACCCCTGGGCAGCTGTGCGGTCGAAGTCGAGGGAGAGCAGACCACCCAGAGGGCTTCTGTCAGGACTGCCCGCTCCCCGGAAACCAGATGGCCTTCTTCGGTCGCCCCGCGGAGCCTCCCCAGAATACCCCTTCCCACCCTCTAACTAAACGTTTGGTTTTCACAGTGTTGGTTTCTAACAAACTCACTTGAAGAAACCAGGTATAACGAAGTAAGCTTTATAATCCGCGCTGAGGTGTGAGCACAAGGTAGCCAACGACGGTGGTTTCAGGAGCCACTGCGGTAGCTGCGGCCACCTGACACACTAACCCCCGGAGAACCTGTTTTTGTATCAAGTTCCTGAATAGCGACCTCAGAGGGTTGTGGCAGAGGCTGCCAGCCCGCGGGGAAAAGCAGATGGAACACAGGGCTCAAGGCGGACAGCAGGGGGTTAAAAGTCCTTCCCCGCCCCTGTTTTCCCTTTCAGCCTCTCAGCCCTACCACTTTCTCTTCCAACTACTGACACCAGACTTCGGGGAACTGGAAGGAGGTTCTTGGAAGGAAGTCTCTGGTTACCGAGCAGAAACAGAAACTAGCTGCCCCGGGTGAATTCCCTAATCCTGTTTCTCCAGCTCACAAGACCACCTGCCCCAAAGGAAGGTCCTTTGTGAACAAATGGCGGTTTGTCAGCCAGGAGGGTCTGACTGACAGGCATGTGTTTAACAAGTCCCCCCAAAACCGCAGGCTGCCCCTCCCGCTGCCAAGGGAGGGCATCTAGTACATTGTGGCGCAACAAATAGCCACAAAAATACAGTTAAACCCTGGCTGGGTACCTCAGTTGGTTAGAGCATCACTCCCATCGGCCAAGGTTACGGGTTCAATCCCCAGTCAGGGCGCATACAAGAAACCACCAATAAATAAGTGGAACAGCCCAGCCGGTGTGGCTCAGTAGCTCAGCGTCGGCCCTGCACCAAGAGGTCACCGGTTTGATTCCCGGACAGGGCACATGCCCAGGTTGTGGGCCTGATCCCCAGTGGGGGGCACGCAGGAGGCGGCCAATCGATGTTCTCTCTCATCGATGTTTCTATCTCTCTCCCTCTCCCTTCCTCTCTCTCTAAAAGCAATAAAGAAAAACCCTGGCCAGTCTTGCTCAGTGGTTAAGAGCGTCGGCCTGCAAACCAAAAAGTCTCGGGTTCCATACCGGTCAAGGGCATGTACTGTCGGGCCGTGCTGGAGGCAACCAACTGATGTCTCTCTCTCGCTCTCCCTCCACTCTACCTGAAGATAAATGGAAAAATATCCTCAGGTGAGGATTAAAAAAAATTTTTCTTTAAATGCAGTTAATGGTTCACTCCACAATCAGGCTGATCTGTGCAGTTTTGCGTCAGCATTAAGAGTGCTGAACAAGTAGTCAGCAAATATTCGATGACCAGTTGGTTGAGTTCCTGAAATTCTTTCGCCACCCAGATGTTGGGTGAGTGGCATAATTCCAAGTATTTTAATCCCTAGGTTTTAGGTTTTCTACTTTGAAAGAGGAAATGAGTGTCTTCCAGCAAGTTACTAAACCATCTATTTTTGTTTTGAAAGTCAACATGTTAATGTTGATATAAACCATGTAACACTTTCCAGGTGGTATCTCAAATATTCCACCGTACAATGAAGAAGGTGTCCGGGAAGCTAGAGACCACAGACAGACTGAGCGGCGCAACCTTCACTGATACTCCTAATGAATTACCAAACCGCTTTGTGGTTCATGCGCACAACCCCGGAGACTGGCTGCGCTCCGGAATATGCCTTCACATTTTGGGATACTTGGCATGATGTCCAATTCCCTTCATGTGCCCTGACTTCTTCTCCCAATGCCACTCACTTAATCAATACTGGAGAAAAAATTAGGAAATTTTGAAGGCATTTCCATTTTCTTCCAGAGGACAGAAGAGCCCGTTTCATGGGCTGACACGCTGTAAGAGTGGAGCTCACAGTGCAAGTCGCTTGAAAAGTGTGTCAGCTCTGTCCAAGTGCCACTGACAAATCTCGTGTGGCCGACAGCGGCAACGTGTCTGACGAGTGCTGGTCTCCGCGTCCCGTCGCTCTCGCCGCCCCCTGGCTGAGGAGGGCAGAGGAGGCTGGCGGGCAGTTCGTTCCCTCTGTTCTGATTCAAAGGAAGGGACCTCGTTCGAGTCCGGCGGTTCGAGTGGGTCCATCCAGACCGTGCTCTGCGGGCGGTTCTGTACTGAGCTGGGCTTCAGCTCCCTTTCTGGGTCTATCACTCCCTGCTCCCTGTCAGGCAGGGCTTCCATTTTTTTTTTTTTTAAATATGTTTTTATGGATTTTTTTAGAGAGGGAGGGAGAGACAGAAACATCGATGTGAGAGAGAACCATCGATCGGCTGCCTCCTGCACGCCCCCTACTGGGGATCGAGCCCATAACCCGGGCATGTGCCCTAACGGGGAATCGAACCGGGACCTCTCAGCCTGTGGGACGACGCTCAATCCACTGAGCCACACGGGCAGGGCTTCCGTTTTCATCTTCCAAAGTGTCAATTCAGAGGAAGCCTTCCAATCTCTTGGCTAAAAGAAACCTGACCTGACTCCTCATCAGAATGGTTAGCAAAGCAAGGCATGGCCACAGCTGCGTTTGGAGGCACAAAGCTGGTAAGCAGAACTCGGGACAAAAGTGCTTTTGCTGCCAATACATTTCCCCATGCTATTAACTTATTAAAACCACTGGGGTTTGCCCTGGCCAGTTTGGCTCGGCGGTTAGAGCATCAGCCCGCGGACCAGAGAGGCCTGGGTTCAGTTCCCGCTCAGGGCACGTACATCGGTTGCGGTTTGTCCCCGGCCCTGGTTGGGGTCATGTGGGTGGCAGCCACTCAATGTGTCTCTTTCATATCGATGTTTCTGTCTTTCTCTTCCTCCCCCTCTCCCTCCTGTTCTATCTGAAGATAAACGCAAAAATGTCCTCGGGTGAGGATTAAAAAAACCACTGGGGTTTGTGCAAAAGTCGAAAAGCGACTCTCGGGGCGTGTGTGGCATTTCTGCTACTTCCCCTGGACGAACAAGGAACATCCCTTTCATACTGGAGCAAGATAGGGCGACAGGGCAGAGGTGAGTCTAATTCTGTTGCAGATGCTATTTCGCAACATAGTATTTCCCCCCAAAGCTCTGAAGAGAAAGGGAGAAACATCTTTTCCACCACGCTTATCCCATTTCTTTCTTCCTCTTCATTTTGACAGCACAGCGAAACATCTTTTCCACCACGCTTATCCCATTTCTTTCTTCCTCTTCGTTTTGACAGCACAGCATCTGACTTTCACGAAGGCATTCCTTCTTTTCTGGGTGTCAGCTGCTGCTTCTTTTTGAAGAAGGAAACTGAGGGCTGTCGATTGCATTTCTGATACGACCAGAACATCCCTGACACAGCAACTCTAGAGACGCTCCATCAGGGACAGTAACATCTCCTCCCTTCACTTCGATGGTCACTGATCGATGAAGAAATTTCACCATAATTGCTGGTGCCAGGGGGCCGAAACTAACGTTTGCTATGGCACACTTGTCTTAAAGGTTACCGTTTCCCAGAGAAATCCGGTTATTATCTCCACGGAGACTGTCAGAGATTATAAATACTAGAGGACCAAGGCCAATCTGGACATATTTCCGTAGAACTTCACGTAAGGCATGAGAATCTTGATAAACTGGTGAGGTCAGTTTTCCACCGGAATTATCTTCTTATCAGTTCTTACATCATCTCCAAGCATTTGTAGCTTGTTACATTTTGTTACTCTTGGTAGAGACGCTTTAAAAACTGCTATCTGAGCCTGATAGGGAAATACAGGGAAGCTTGATTCATGATTGGATAGCTCCTTGAAATCATCACTTTGGAAGTCTGGTAAACAAGAGTGGATTACACTCTCGTAATTGAATACCATACTCCTTTGATAGCTTTTTTCTTTTCTTTTTTTTAAAATCCTTACCTGAGGGTATTTTTCTATTTATCTTCAGACAGAGTGGAAGGCAGAAAAAGGGAGAGAGAGAGAAACATCGACATGAGAGGGACACATCCACCGGTTGCCTTCTGCACGACCCGGACCAGGGCCGGGACAAACCGCAACTGAGGTACGTGCCCTGGGCCAGAATCAAACCTGCGGCTCATTGGTCAGCGAGCCGACACGCTAACCACTGTGCAAACCCAGCCAGGGTGATAGCATTTTCATAGTTGTCGTTTTTCCACACCCAGGAGGCCCTGTTATTGGTAAAAATAGACCCACCCTGTTTTGATGGCTTTTCTAAGACTTCTGCTTTCTAACCATGTTTCAGCTTCTTCAGTTTTCCTTCTGTGCCCAGAAAAATCATGCTGAGTTTCCGGTTTGCAGTGCCCCACCCGTGGCTCATCTTCAGACAGATGTTCTTCTGAATTTTCCAGACCAGCTGTTCTGAGGGGGACAGTGTTCCCCTTTTTCTAGGTGGAAGTCTGTTCCTTTGTAACACGAACAGCACTTTTTTCTTCCCTGGCTGGAGTCCCTGACACCTGATGTGGTGGTTCTCTGAAAAGCCATCCAGCGACGGGTCTACCCTGCCTGTCACCTTTGTGGAAGTCACCTTTCGTCTAAGAAAAGGTGTGACCTGATGCACTGTGATAGTTCCCATCCGTAGTGTACCACCTGCAGTACGTTAAGAGATAATTCGCCTCCTTTCAAAAGCAGGTTCCTGTCCCTGGTGGTGCCCTGTTCTTACCCCGGCTCCACACCCTGCTGGGCAGAGAGGAGTTGGCAAAGGCAGCCACTCGGCCCTGCTAGGGCTCAGCGGGAGCCTCTTCGAGGTCCCGCCTCCCTGACTTAACCATGTTGTACCTTAGTTTTCCTACCTGAGAAACAAGCAGAAGCCCGGCTGATGTGGCCCAGTGGTTGAGCGTCGACCCACACACCAAGAGGTCGCCAGTTCGAATCTTGTCAGGGCACATGCCTGGGTTGTGAGCCCGTCCCCAGTGGGGGGCATGCAGGAGGCAGACAATCAATGTTCTCTCATCGATGTTTCTATTTCTCTCTCCCTCTCCCTTCCTCTCTAAAAATCAATAAAGGAAAAAAAAACAAAAACAAGCAGAATAATTACCCCTAACTCCTAAGACTAGAGTGCGAATTCAATGAGCTCACCAGGCACACTTCCTAGACCACTGTTGGGCACACAGTAGGCACTGAGAGCGGCCACGCAAGCACACAGCAGGCGCTCAGAGCGACAACGCGGGTGCACAGTAGGCACTCAGAGCGACCACGCGGATTACGGCTCTAATCCGCGGAGTGAACGAGGGTCAACCCAGAAGAACACAGGCTGCATGTTCCCGTTTACATGAAACTCTAGAGAAGGCAACTTAATCTATGGGGACACAAACAGACCAGGGGACGCCTGGGGCTGGGGAGTAAAGGGGTAGATGAACTGCAAAGCAGCATGTAGCAACTTTTGGGGGTACAAAGGTGGAAAGGTTTAAAAAATCCTTAAAGCTACGGGGTCGACCGGTAATAAGAGGCACATTCCACCTTTGCAGCAGACGAAGTTCTGCGCACAGTTGATGCGCTGCAGGGACCCTGGCCCTTCTGGGGAGAAGCTCAACCTGACTGGTTGCGGGCAGATTTACCTGCGTTGAACTCGGGGTCATCTTCCAGGATGGTCACCGCGGCCTCCACGGCGTCCAGCGCTCTCCCGCCCTCCTTCAGGACTTTGTAACCCGCGGTGGCGGCGCGGACGACGCCCTGGCGCAGCCGCTCCTCCAGGTCCTGGGGGATCTCGCTGCTCGCCCCACCGTGCACCAGGACGACCGGGTTCATGGCCACGGACCCAGCCATCAGGACCACGACGTGATTTCAGAGGGCCCGGAACCGGCAGGGCACCCTCTCCTCGGGAGGTGCCGTGGGGGGTGAGGTCAGGCTCCTGCTGGGGAGGAAGGCAAGGCTCACAGCCCCGGCGACTCCCTGGGACCCGGGGAAGGAGGGCAGAGGGGCTGCTTCGAGCTTGGCAGGAAGAGCCGACGCGCCTCTGCCGGCCCGTGCGCCCCGCTGCCCCGGCCCGGAGCACCTGCGGGCGTTCCCCGGAGCGCCCAGCCGGACCCGAGCTGCCCCGGCCGGAGCTCCACGCCGCTCCGGGCTCCACGGCGCTGCGGGGTGGCCCCGAGGGCCGAGGCCCAGCCCGTGCCCGCAGCCACTTGCCCGGGCGGCCCTGCGCCACAACTTCCCGGCAGCGCCGCCGCCCCGCGCCCCGGGAAGGGCGCCTCCCCGCCCGGCCGCGCGTGGACTCACCGCCGCGCCGCGCACCCGGGGCTTCAGAACAGCAGCAGCCGCGCCGTCGCCTCCGGACCGGCAAGACCCAGACTGGCCGCGAGGCGGGTCCGGAGGCCGCTGGGCTCCGGGCGAGTGACTGCCCAGAGGGCGGGGCCGCCGTGCGGAATTACCGTAAAGCTCCGAATGGCCCGGAGCGCCGCCTCCCCTTCTGCAGGTGTCTCCTCTGGGGCTGGACGGCCTGGCTCCCGGACCCGGAGGACGCTGGCCCTGCACCCAGGCGAGCCTCCTGGGTGGGAGGCCAAGCCGGGCACCTGCTCCCCCTTCTTATAAGATTGGGGGAGGAGGGTGGGTGGTGTGCGGTGAGGTGCTTGAAAAGATGTGCCCAGTGCCAAACAATGGTCGGTGCCAAGTCAACACCAAGGGGAATCCCTAGTTTGGGGTTCAGTGAGAGGTTTTGTAAATCAAACTGAACCTTGGGAAGGCAGACACCTGCTAAGAAGACCTTCTGGTGGCTAGCTGGCCTTACATTTTATTATTATTTTATTATTTAATTTGTATTTCTTTATTTAAACTTACCGTTATTGTTGAATGTATTACAGATGTCGCCCCTTTTATCCCCATTGACCCCCTCCTCCCCATTCCCACCCCCTGCTGCCTCCCCACACTATTGTCTGTGTCCATTGGTTATGCATATGTGCATAGAAGCTCTTTGGTTGATCTCATCCCGCCCTCCCCCCCTTCCCTTTGAGGTTCATCAGTCTAACAACCTATTTGTACTTCATAATCCCTTCACCTTTGTCACCCATCCCCCTCCAGCCCCCTCCCATCTGACAAGCAACAAAAAGTTCTCTGTAGCTATGAGTCTGTTTCTGTGTTGCTTGTTCATTTTGTTTGTGGATTTGATTGTTGATAGATATGTATTTATTGCCGTTTTGTGGTTCATATTTTTGTTCTTCTCCTTCAAGAAGACCCTTCATCGTTTCATATAATACTGGTTTGGTGGTGATGAACTCCTTGAGCTTTCTCTTGTCTGGGAAGCTCTTTATATGTCCATCAATTCTAAATGGTAGCTTTGCAGGACAGAGTAATCTTAGTTGCAGGTTCTTGCTTTTCATCACTTTGAATATGTCTTGCCACGCCCTTCTGGCCTGCAAAGTTTCTTTTGAGAAATCAGTTGACAGTCATGTGGGAGCTTCGTTGTAGGTAACTAACTGCTTTTCTCTTGCTGCTTTTAAGATTCTCTCTTTGGCCCTGACTGGTTTGGCTCGGCCGTTGGAGCATCGGCCAACAGACCAAAGAGTCACGGGTTTGTTTCTAGTCAAGGGCACATACCTTGGTTGCAGTTCGTTCCTGGACCTGGTGGGGGTTGTGCAGGAGGCAACCAGTCGATGTGTCTCTCTCACGTCAGTGTTTCTCTCTCTCTCCCTTTCTCTTCCTCCTTCCCCCTCTATCTGAAGATAAACAGAAAAATGTCCTCGGGTGAGGATTTAAAAAAAAAAAAGATTCTCTCTTTGTCTTTAACCTTTCGCATTTTGATGATGATGTGTCTCGGTGTGGAACTCTTGGGGTTCATCTTGTTTGGGACTCTCTGTGCTTCCTGGACTTGTGTGTCTGTTTCCTTCACCAAGTTAGGGAAGTTTTCTGTCATTATTTTTTCAAATAGGTTTTCAATTTCTTGCCCTCTCTCTTCTCCTTCTGGCAACCCCATGATGCGAATGTTGGTACGCTTGAAGTTGTCCCACAGGCTCCTGAAAGGTCAGCCAAAGGAGGAACACACCTGGGTTCAGGCAAGAGAATTTTATCGGGGAGTCACCTGCTGGGCTGACTCCTAAGGCGGGGTCAGCGCCGATATCTCTACCAGGCAGGGTTATCTAGGGGATGCATGGGTGAGGGGCTGGCAGCCCTTCGAGGGAGAGGACAATGTGATTTGGCTACTTGGATAGGTATAGCCGCAAGGAGACCAAGAGGCGTCTCCACTCCCAGGCTGATTCAACCTGGACATCCTGTTTCTCAGAATTCTTTTTATATATCAGGGGAGGAGGGAGTTGGAGACTTTGGCTGCAACCCAATCAGCTCCTTACACTGTCCTCATTTTTTTGGATTCTTTTTTCTTTTTGCTGTTCTGATTGGGTGTTTTTTGCTTCCTTATATTCCAAATCAATGGTTTGCTTCTTGGCTTCACCTACTCTACTATTAATTCCCTGTAAATTATACTTTATTTCAGTTAGTGCATCCTTCCTTTCTGACTGCTCCTTTTTTATGCTCTTGATGTCCTCACTAAGTTCCTTGAGCATCCTTAGAACCAGTGTTTTGAACTCTGCATCTGATTGATTGCTTATCTCCATTTTGGTTAGTTGTTTTTCTGGAGTTTTATTCTGTTCTTTCATTTGGGACATGTCTCTTTGTCTCTTCATTGTGGCTGCTTCCCTGTGATTGTTTCAATGTATTAGGTAGAGTTGCTATGTCTCCAAGGCTTGGTAGGGTGGCCTATTACAGTAGGTGTCCTATGGGTCCAGTGGCACAGCCTCCCTGATCACCCCGTCTGGGCCCACGAGGTGCACCCTTAGTGCGGACTGTACACCCTTCTGTTGTAATTGAGTCTTGATAGCTGTTGGCACATCAATGGGAGGGATTTACTCAGGCTGATCAGCTGCAAGGACTGGCTGTACCCACTGACCACTGGCCTCTGACTACCTTGGAGGATCAGCTGTGCAGGGCCCATCACACAGAGCAAGACTTACTTCAGCAGGGCTCTGGTACCCACTGAGTCCACTCAGTGAGCATGTCACTTGTGGAGGTGGTTGGGTGGTGGTGTTTCCGTGTGGTCTGAAGCTGTCCACTGGGTGTGCTGGCTCTGGGGCAAGGTCAGCCACTGCCTGTGTTCTACCCGGGGCCACCAGGCATAAGCTACAGAGTGATCTGCTGATGAGTGTGTGTGTGCCTGCCTGTGTGTGTGTGCATCTGTGCACGTGTGTGTGCATGTGTGTGTCACCGTTTGTGCGGCACTGCCACCCGCTGGGTGCTGGCAGCTGCAGCCTCCCTCAGCCCCGCACCGGGCACGAGCAGCACCCTTGGCACCGGGGAGCCACCAGAAGCGATGACAGTGGGAACAGCACGGGCACAGGAGCGGGAAGGCCACTTAGAGACCCGGGACGCCCAGCAGGAGGGTGGACAGGGGACCGGTCCCACCCTGCTTTGCTCCGCGGGGAGCCTGACGTTCAGGCAGGAGAGAACTTGAGGCACAGCCAGAGGTGGAGTTGACGTCAGGGCCCCCAGCCCCCAGGTCACACGCCATCCGGGGATGAGAACTTACAAGGCGCACAGTCCAGGGCCCAGTAGCCGCAGGGGTCTCTGGGTGCCACTGTTTCTCAGAAGGGAGCCTGGGCCTCAGGGGAGAGGCTGCCCCCATGGACCCCTGGCAGTGTGGCCCCAGGACAAGGGCCGGTTTTCTGCCTCTGGAGTCCCCACAGCCATGTCTGCACTAGTGCTCCGGGCTGGGGGCGCCTCCCCGGAGCCCACTTTCTGAACACGCAGGGCAGGACGGCCTGCTCCAGGGGGGTACCTCCTCTGCAGAGAGCTCCCGTCTCCCCTTTGCTGCCCTCAGGTGACGTCCACCTGCCGTCCTGGTGAGCGGACCTCCTCTGTGTGCCCCTCAGTTTCCGTGGTGACCAGTGTGTTTTGTTCCGTGTTCGTCTCCCAGGTGTCGCGCTCCCTCTGAGAAGCCCATCCTTGGCCATCTGGAAGCGGGCACAGACCATGTTTGCAGAACTGCCCGCCGGCGCCCACAGCACCACCTCTCCTTCCCGCAGGACCGAGGGGCCCGCCTCAGGGAGGGACAGTGACTTCACAGCCACCGCCCCCTCGCGAGTCAGGGGCCCTTCCCACCTCTGGCTCCGAGGCCACGGGTGCTCACTGAGGGTCCTGTCCTGTAAGGCGGTTTTTTGTTTTTGTTTTTGTTTTAATCCTCAGCGGAGGACATCTTTCCATTGATCTTCAGACAGAGTGGGAGGAAGAGAAAGAAAAAGAAAGAGACACATTGACTGGTTCCTCCCACACAAACCCGACCAGGGCCGGGGACGAACTGCAACCGAGGTACATGCCCTTGACCGGAATCGAACCTGGGACTCATTGGCCCGCGGGCCAACGCTCCAACCATCGAGCCAAACCGGCCAGGGCTTTGTCTTGTTCTGTAAAGTTCAACTTACTGAGGTAACATGGTTGTTAACATTATACCGAGCCCAGGTGTGAACACGGTCACGTGACGTGGTCTGGGGAGCCTTTCTTTTTTAGTGGTATGAAAGCGTGAGGCCCGACGGTTTCCTTCTGGTCGCTGTTTTATGGTGTTTTCATGTCATTTTTTTAAATTCTGTAATTTTAATTTGTATTTTTTCCTTCATCCCAGAGTATTTTTTTAAATGGAAAATTAAGAAATATTCTAGTTTTTACTATATTTTTGTGAAAGAAGTTTGTTTGTAATATTTCTACTTTATGGACCATGCTGATGGCTTTAAAAACAGTTCTGGCCCAGCCGGTGTGGCTCAGTGGTTGAGCACCATCCCATGGACCAAGAGGGTACTGGTTCAATTCCTGGTCAGGGCACATGCCAGGGTTTCATGCTCCATCCCCAGTAGGGGGTGTGTGTGCAGGAGGCAGCTGATCAATGTTTTTCTTTCCCTCTCCATTCCTCTCTTTCTAAAATCAATAAAGACATATATATATATTTTATTCTATTTTATTAGTTTTTTTCTTTATTGATTTTAGAGAGAGAAGAAGGGAGAGGGAGAGAGAGACAGAAACATTGATGAGCGAGAACATCAATTGGCCGCCTCCTGTATGCCCCCCGCAGGGATTTGGCCCACAACCTGGGCATGTGCCCTGACCAGGAATCAAACCGGTGACCTCTTAGTGCATGGGTGCACGCTCAACCACTGAGCCACACTGGCCGGGCAAGACATATAGTTATTAAAATAATCCGTTTTTATGAGTATTTTACTCTGCGTTATTGTGATGGGCAGGTGTGGGCAGGTGTGGGCAGGTGTGAGCAGGTGTGAGCAGGGCAGGAACGGTGGGCAGGTGCGGGCAGGTGCGGGCAGGTGTGGGCAGGGCAGGAACGGTGGGCCAGGTACAGAAGGTCACCAGGGCAGAGAGCCCCAGGTGCCTGGCGATGAGGGAAACCACCAGCCTGTATGGCCACGCCCTCAAGCACTAGCCCCTGGAGATGACATCTAGGCTTCAGCTGAGTCTCAGCTCCAGGCCCAGAAAAGCATCAAAACCAAGGGGACCAGCCCTGGCTGACCTCAGGACCAGCTGCAACGGCTAATGACCCCCTGCCTGGAGCTGACCAGTCAGTGAGACCGTGACGCTGAGGACACACACCAGGAAAGCTGACGAACAGTCCACAGATCCTCCAGAACAAGCCCCAGGACAGAGGACCCGGCTGGGCTCTCACCACGGAGCCCGGGCTGTTCCCCACCCCCCTTCCCCAGGGCTCCGGCCTCTCCAGGGCCTGGATCTGTCCTCCATCTTCCATCTTTGAGTCTTGGCTCTGAATTCTTTCTCAGCCAGAACTCAAGCACCGAGGTTGCTGAACCCGGGTCCAACTCCTGGTGCCATTTTGCTGCCAACATCACCAAGATGTGGAAAGAGGGGTACACACTCGGGTCGGCGGTGGTTTCCAGGCCCCTCCGCCTGCCCGTCGGGCCCCCCGCTGCCGAGCGGGTGTTCTGGGGCTTTGCCGTTCTCCTGCTCTGGGAACGTGCGTCTCACCCAAAAGGCCCCGTCGTTTGTCTGGAGACTGAAGCATTTTCTTTTTTATCCTCACCTGAGGACATTTTTTGCATTTATCTTGAGACAGAGCAGGAGGGAGTGAGGGGGGAAGAGAGAGAGAAACATCAACATGAGAGAGACACATCGAGTGGCTGCCACCCACACGACCCCAACTGGGGCCGGGGACAGACTGCAACCGAGGTACATGCCCTTAGTGGGAACCGAACCCGGGTCTCTCTGGTCCGCAGGCCGATGCTCCAACCACTGAGCCAAACTGGCCAGGGCGAAGCATTTTTTTTTTTTTTAATCCTCACCTGAGGATATTCCTCCATTTATTTTCATTTTATTTTATTTATTTTTATTTTTTTATCCTCACCGGAGGACATTTTTCCATCTTTTGTTCAGGTAGAGTGGGAGGGAGAGAGAGGAACAGAGAGAGAGAGAGAGAGAGAAACATCGACGTGAAAGGGACACATCGAGTGGCTGCCACTCGCACAACCGACCAGGGCCGGGGACAAACTGCAACCGAGGTACATGCCCTTAGCGGGAACCGAACCCGGGTCTCTCAGGACCGCAGGCCGACGCTCTAACCGCTGAGCCAAACCGGCCAGGGCCATTTATTTTCAAATACAGTGTGTGTGTGTGTGTGGGGGGGTAGAGAGATTGATTGGCTGCCCCCCACATGACTCCGACCAGGGCCAGCTCCGAACTGCAACCAAAGTACATGCCCTTGACTGGAATTGAACCCGGGACTCTCTGGTCTGGGGGCCGATGCGCTAACTGCTGGGCCAAACCAGCCAGGACTGAAGCATTTTTCTTTATCAGTAAATTCCATCATCCATTTTCTAAGCACAATTCGTTCCCATTTCATTTTCTCCAATTTTTGTTCATTTCTGCCCTTGGATTTTTTTTTTTTTTGGTCTTTTAATTATATCTGTCCTTAGATTTAAAAAAATTTCTCTCCCACTTACAGTGCATTCAATTCGGTTCTGAGCGTGGGACCATTTCTCCTGCTCCCGCCCAGCAGGGTGTCCCGACGGGGAAGTTTTCTCCGGCTCTGGTTCTTCTCAGGGCGAAGTCTGGACGAGCGTGTCCCCGACGGGGTGGCCGTGGGGGCCGATGACGTGACTACTTCACGGGCGCCCACCAGGGCAGTCAGTTCTCCAGTGGGAGGCATTCTGGAGTGTGTGTGTGAAGTCTGTTCAGACCAGGCGAAGTGCCTGGTGGGGGGCTGTCTCTGTGGGGTCCCTTTCCAAGGGCACTGATCCCATTGCAGGGACCCACCCTCACGGCCTACTTGCCTCCCCAAGGCTCACCTCCCGACACGGGCACATGGGGCTGGATTTAACCGAGGACTTCACCACAGGGCGCCTTTCTGAAGTCCCCGCCGGGTGTCCCCGCGCCGTCCTCCGGTCCCTCGGGTGCTCTGTGGCTGGAGCTGCCCATTCTCCGGGGGCTCATTCTAGTCCATTTCCAGTCCTCACGTCCCTCCTTGGCCCTAACTCTGCCCCAAGGTTCTGCCACGGGCTTGAGAGAGACTGGTGGACGCTGTGTTTTCATTTGCTAACTTTTCCTTCCTTCGGAGCCAGTAGACTTTGGTGGGCCAGGCCGAGACTGTCTCGAGTCATCATTACGTTCTTTACACGGAGGACCTTATCTACACCACTTTCCACAGTTTCCAAACTGACAGTTATAAAATGAGAATACCGTTCAGGCTGCCTCCCAGGTCCCTGCGCAGGGGAACTGGCCCTTTCTCCAGCCCAGGCTGTGTGCCTGTGCCCCCCAAAGCCCAGAGGTTAATCCAACCCCCAGGTGACGGTGTTGGGAGGTGGGCCTTTGGGAGGCGAGGAGGCCGTGAGGGTGGGGCCCCCATGATAGCATCAGTGCCCTTAAGAAAGGGGCCCCACAGGGACATCCCCCACCAGGCCACATCTGCCCTGGAGGAGGCTGGGACGAGGGCCGGCCCGCAGACTGCGTGGGGACACGCCCGGACAGGTGCTGTGTGGCCAAGGACCAACACCAAGGACAGAGAGTAGCCCCGGGCAGGGGCACCAGGGGCTTCCACGGACTGCCTCGGGCACTCACCTGCATCTCGGGTCTCGTCTGGGAACTGTGCTTGACATAATGTCAGAATTAACTTGAAGGTGAGGGTGATGTTTTGTCTTCCTGTTTTCTCTTTCTTTTTATAATTCTTTTTAAAACAATTTTTTTTCTTTATTGATTTTAGAGAAAGAGGGAGGAAGAGGGAGAGAGAGATAGAAACGCGGATGAGAGAGAACATCGATGGGCCACCTCCTGCACGCCCCCCACTGGGGGTCGGGCCCACAACCTGGGCATGTGCCCTGACCGGGAATCGAACCAGCGAACTCTTGGTCGACGCTCAACCACTGAGCCACACTGGCCAGGCCTGTTTTTTCTTTTTTAATCCTCACACGAGAATATTTTTCCATTTATCTTCAGACAGAGTGGGAGGGAGAGATAGAAACATCGACGTGAGAGAGACACATCGGTTGGCTGCCTCCCACACGATCCGGACAGGGGCTGGGGACGGAACTGCCACCGAGGGGCACGCCCTTGACCGGAATCGAACCTGCAACTCTGTGATCCGTGGGCCCACGCTCTAACCGCTGAGCCAAACCGGCCAGGGCGAGCGAGCTTTTTTAAACTGGGGGGACTTATTGTATTTTTAATGATTGAAACAAAAAGTATCCACAAGCACACGTTCTGAAAGAACTAGCTGTCCTTGCTCTGTCCTTGGTCTCCACCTTGGCCTGGTGCTGGCTGGGGGCATGGGCTGCCCCGGGGGAGGGAAGACGGGTCTGGCCTGGGATGAGGGGGCTCTTTCTGGAACCTTCCCAGTGTAGGGAAGTGTCGAGACACAAGGGTCGGTAGGCACACGCTCCCTGCTCTCCAGCCCATCTGGGCCGGACACAGAGGCCCCCACGGAACAGTCAGCCCCGCCCTTGGGTAACTTGGCCACCTGGCCAAAAGGGAGGCCAGAATGCTGTGTGCTGGTCACTGGCCGCCCACAGTGCACACACAGAGCCATATAAACGGTCTCCAGGGGGCCTGAGGCGTGTGCTGGCGTGTCGGGCTCCCTGAGCATGTGTGCTGTGCTGGTGACCCTCCTGGCCCTGGCCTCAGTGCCTGGGGCCCCGGCGGCCTGGCTGGGGAGGCTGGACCCTGAGCAGGTAACAGTCCTCCTGTGGGGCCCCGCCGGGGACGGGCTGGCCTAGGGTGTGTGGGCTCCCAGGTGGAGGGAGGGCCCCTCACCGCCCCGTCCTCGTCCAGCTCCTGGGGTCCTGGTACGTTGTGGCCATGGCCTCTGGCGAAAAGAACTTTGCGCTGGAGAAGGCCATGAAGAACGTCGAGGGGGTCGTGGTGACGCTCACTCCTGAGAACACCCTGAAGGTGCTGTCCTCCCGCCACAGGTGAGCCGGGCCCGTCTGCCGGCTGGCTGGGGAGGCCGTCACAGGCTCCATGGGCTGAGTCCAGCTGCCCGGGCACAGAGGCCCGGCCCCGCGCGTGGTTCCCGGCCCCGTGCCTTCCCGCCCCCACTGGCTGGGCTCTGCTGAGCTCCACCGGGGGTGGCTCTGGAGCCGGCGTCTCTGGACCCTGGGCCTGGCACAGCCTCTGGCCCTGGGCAGCCCGGCTCCAGCCAGCGGGCGAGGCCTCCTCCGTGGCCAGTGCCCCAGGCTGCCGCTTGCAGCAGGTCGTGCATCCGAGTCCAAGGCCGCAGGGCCTCTCGGAAAACAAGCTGGACTGGGAGGTCAGGTGGAGGTCAGGCGGAAGTCAGGTGGAGGTCAGGTGGAGCCCCAGACGAGCACTGAGGAGCAGATCACAGGCTGGTGGGAGGGGGGCTGGAGGAAGAGGGTGGTGGCAGGGGGCGGGGCTGTGCGGCAGGGGGAGGCCCTGTGACCCAGGGGTGCCAGGCTGCTGGGCAGGGGGCACGCCGTGCTGGGGGACGTGTTGGGTTAGCATCACCCACCTCCACAAGGAGGCGGTCGCACACTGGGGGTGTCAGAGTGGGCACATTCATCCCAGCACCGGCCGAGCAGACTGGGCATTGGCCCTGAAGCCACTGCTGGCTGAGTCCTGAGGAGGCTGTCGGAGTGAAACACCCACACGGGAACCTGGCGTCTGGAAGGCCCTGGGTTACGGGAGAGCCTGGGCGATGACGCGAGGGCCACGGGATGGCCAGGGGCTACGGGATGGCCAGGGGCCACGGGGTGGTCAGGGGCCACGGGATGGCCAGGGGCCACGGGGTGGTCAGGGGCCACGGGGTGGTCAGGGGCCACGGGATGGCCAGGGGCCACGGGATGGTCAGGGGCCACGGGGTGGTCAGGGGCCACAGATGGCCAGGGGCCGCTGACGTCTCTGGCCTCAGTCTGAGCACCTGGGGGGGCCACACCTTGCCAGCGAAACCACAGGTGCCCCAGGGGGAAGCAGTTCTCCCTGGTGTTCCGTTATTTAATAATTTCATTTGTTGGCCTTTGAGTAGAAAATACGTCCCGGTGGTTCAAAGGCCGACGTGTCCCCAAGGGCGCAGTGCAGTCCAGTGGCTCCCCAGGCCCCTCGTGCTGCTGACTCTTCCCCCAGGAGTTTTCCTGTTTCTTTAGTTGTTTTTAGTCCTCACTCGAGGACACTTTTTCATTGATTTTTAGAGAGAGTGGAAGGGAGGGGAGGAAGGGAGGGAGGAGGAGAGAGAGACACATCTACTGGCCGCCTCCTGTACGAGCCCGACCAGGGCTGGGGATCGAAGCTGCAGCCCAGGCACGTGCCCTTGACCGGAGTGGACCCTGAGGGCCAGCACGCCAACCGCTGAGCCACACGGCCAGGACCTCGGGCTTCCTCTTGTGGACACTCTGCGCACTGGTGACTTGGGGACACTGGAGTGGAGTGTCTCGAGCCCTCTGTGGCGCCTCTGATGCCATCAGCTGGGCTTCTGTTTTCTCCCTGCGGACCTGGCAGAGGTGGTCCCGGGAGACGGAAGGGCATGGCCACTCTGCAGGGCTCCCGAGCCAGTCCAGACGGGTCCAATCGGTGGGGAGCAGGGTCCAGGTGGCAGAACTCTCCTCTCTGGTCCTTCCTCCGGGCCCCGAGTGGACGGTGGGCCCTGAGCGGAGGGTGAACCCCGAGTGGACGGTGGGCCCTGAGCAGAGGGTGAGCCCCGAGTGGACAGTGGGCCCCAGCGGAGGGTGAACCCCGAGCGGATGGTGGGCCCCGAGCGGACAGTGGGCCCCAGCGGAGGGTGAACCCTGAGTGGACGGTGGGCCCTGAGTGGACAGCAGGCCCCGAGCGGACGGTGGGCCTCCTCCCTCCTAGGCTGGAGAGGTGCGACCTGGACGTTGTGGAGCTGCTAAGACAGGACTCTGCGTGGGTGTTTGAGAACCCCTGTAAGGACGACGCCACCTCAGTCTTACCCAGGGCGGAGTGGGGTGGGCTCCGTTGCCCTGGGCCCTCGGTCCTCTGCAGCGTCCCCAGACCCAATCCTGAGGGCAGAGGGCTCAACAGCACCCACCATGCTCAGCGGGGACCCCAAGCCTCGCTCCGCAGTGTGCAGGGATGGCACTCGGCCCCCACACACGGCAGGATTGGGGGAGGGTGACCCACCACACCAGCTACTCCCAGGACGCCCCATCTGTCCGTCCCTGAGAACCGCCGGTGGCGTGGGGTGGGAAGGGTGGGCCCTTGGCTTTGGGGCGGGCCTCTGGGAGGCCTGAGGGCCCCACCCACGGGGCTCTGTCTGCCAGCCCAGGGCGTGCTGGAGTACCGGGTGCTGGGCACCAACTTCAGGGACTACGCCGTGGTGTTCACGCAGCTGGAGCGCAAGGACGAGGCCTTCAGCACCGTGGAGCTGTACAGTGCGTGGCCTGGGGACGGGGGGGGGGGCGTCCTTCCTGTCCCACCGCCCCTGCCCGCCCTCCGGCCCCAGGCCCGGCTCTCAGGGGCGCCTCCCCGCAGGCCGCACGCATTGGGCCAGCCCGGAGGCCGCCCGCCTCTTCGCCAGGTGGAGCCGGGGCCTGGGCTTCCTGCCCCAGCAGCAGGCCAGGCTGCAGGCCGACCGTGAGTGTCACCTGGGCGCCTCGGTCTGTCTCGGGGACCTTCAGGGAGTCAGGCAGAATTGGGGGGGTCTTCAAGGAGTCAGCTCCTCCCTGCGAATCAGGCCTGCAGGGATGGTCCCCACCTCAGGTGAGACTGTGAGCAAGGATGGGGGAGCCGGTGCTGGGCCAGCTGCTGCCTGACCTCCCGGCTCACAGCCCGTCTTGCCCCCCACCCCCGCAGTGTCCTGTGCGCACAGGGCCTTCCAGGTAAGCTGCTTCTGAGCATCGCCCGGGGTCCCTGGGAGCCCCACATCCCGGGGGCAGCAGGGGCCAGTGGCTGGGGCTGGGGGCAGGGGCCTCGAGGTAAACCTGGGTCCCCATGTCTGCCTTGGTTTCCAGTGAATGCCGTGGCCCGAGGGGACAGCCCCCGCCGTGTCCTGGTGCGAGCTGGCCGGGCACTGCCCTCTGCGCTCAGTTGCCCAGGTGCTGGGTGGGGGGACAGCTGCCCCCAGGTGCCCCCAATGCAGATCCAAATAGAGCGATTTCACAAGCCAACCCTGGGCCTCTCGTGCATGCCGGGCAGGTGGATCCCTGCCTCCTCGGGCTCTGTGTGGGGTTCCGGTTAGGATGGGGTGAAATGGGGTGGGATGGGCCCACCCAGGGCTGAGCCACAAGGCAGGACCAGCTCTGGGATGAGGGGCCTGGCTTGTACCTGTGTCCCTCAGCAGGGTCCCTCAGGGTCAGAGCTGGGGGCTGGGCTGTTCTCCTCCTGCAGCAGTTACCACGGCCCCTGGGCAGGTGCGGGGCTGGTCTGTGGGGCTGGAGCGAGACCCGTGTTCGGGGTGCTGGGCCGCGGAGCTGACGCCAGTGCCCACCAGGGTGCCTGGTTGGGATGCGTGGTGTCTAGGGCTCAGGTTTGGCTCCCCCGCCCTGGGCTCTGGGCCAGGGGCAACAGAGGGCCTGAGCCTATCAGCCCTCCTGGGACCTGGGCCCTGCCTGAAGTCCTGGCAGAAGCAAAGCCATCGGGGAGCGCGGTGGGACGAGCAGGGGGCTGTGCACTGCTCACAGGCAGTCACATGGAGGCCTCGCTCTTCAGAGAGAGCACAGTATGCACCCACTCGCACCCACACACACCCACATGCACCCGTACACACCCACACGCATAGACACACACACGCACCCACACGCACAGACACACACACGCACAGACACATACATTCGCACTCGTTCAGCCCGGACGACCGTCGTCCCGGCTCTGGCACAGAGAAGGCAGCGCCAACGTCAGCGCAGGACGTCTGCGCCCCAGCTCCCGAGCCGGTCCCCTGTGCCGGGGGAGTGTCCAACCCTCCGTCCCTCCCTGCCGGCCCACCCCTGGCCCTCCGGAGGCTCCCGGTTGGCCGGACGCCCACGGCAGGGCAGCTGGGCAGGGAGATTTAAACTCGGAATCCGGCGGCTGAGGGAAGCTGGCAAGGATGGGGCTGGGGCGGCTGCTGCCCGTGCTGGTCCTGGCCCTGGTGCTGGTGACAGGGTCCCAACCACAGGAGCAGCCCCTCCGGGAGTCCCACAACCTCAACTGGAACAAGGTGAGCCCTGTGCCTGGCCGCGAGGGCGGGCGGAGGGCAGGGCAGGGTGGTGGGACCACGTCTCCCTGACACCCTTCAAGCAGCTGTCCATAAGACACGGGCGGCCGAGGTGGCAGGAAGCTCCCCGGGGCCCAGCCGGCTGCCCGCCTGGCCTCTTCCTGAGGGACGGGGACCCCCTGGTGAGGCAGAGCAGAGGGCCCCAGACAAGTGGCCTGAGGTCACCAGGAGATGCCAGGTGGGCAGAGTGGGGTGGAATGGGCAGGGTATGTTCTGGAACAAGGAGACTGCTGGCTGGCGGCAGGTTCCGGTGTGGGCAGCGTGGGCACAGGCCGATGGACTTGCAGCCACCCCTGGGAATGCGGGTTTGCCACAGGAAGCCGGTGGGACGGGGTGCAAGGTGAGCTGGAAGGAAAAAGGCCCCAGGAGGCCCACCCAGGAAGGGGGCTCGGCCCTCAGTGCCATCTCAGGCCCCAGCCCCCACGGGCCTGGGACAGGGACCCGGCTGGGTGAGTTCTCCCAGCACCAGCCCTGGGGAGTGGGGGCAGCGTCCACACTCCTCGGCACCCTCTCTGCAGTTTTCAGGGTTCTGGTACATCCTTGCCATCGCCTCCGACACCCAGGGGTTCTTGCCAGGCAGGGACAGGAGAAAGCTGGGGGCGTCCGTGGTGCAGGTTCACAGAGTGGGCCAGCTGAAGGTGATCCTCGCCTTCAACGGGTGAGGGGTCGAGCGCGCGAGCCCGGCACACCCCTCGCAGACCCCCGGCCCCCGGCACCCAGGGTGGTGGGCAGGGGCAGAGCCGTGGGTCAGCTACAGCAGGGCCTTCACTTCCTGCCCCTAACACTCAGAGGGCCGAGTTTGGGAGAGGCCACTGTAGTCCGGGGGCCCCGGGCAGGCAGCGGGCATCTGGAGATCCTCCCTAAGCTGTGAGGTTGGCCCTGGTCCAAGCTGGAAAGTTCTGGAACAGAGCTGAGTGGACAGGAAGTGGGGCCCCCGGAGCAGAGGTCAGGAGGAGAGAGCCGAGGCTCCCTGGGTGGGGCTGGGCCGCGGGTGGGACGAGGGCTCCCTGGGTGGGGCTGGGCCGCGGGTGGGACGAGGGCTCTTGCCGTGTCTGGAAACCCTGGCGCTGTCCTCAGGTTGCAGGGGTGCCAGTCACACACGTTAATTCTGAGGAGAGATGGGAAGAAACCTGTCTTCAGGAACACTTGTGCGTATGAGGGCCGGGCCAGGGAAAGACCGAGGGCTGGAGGGTCCAGGGTTCATGGCCACTGAGACGCTGGGCACAAGGCCCAACTGCCCTGTCCCCCAGTGGCCCCTTTGCCCTCGAGAAAAGGGGCGGGTGAGATGGACGTCCGAGACAGGCCAGCTGCCGTCCCAGAGCCTGTCCTCGTCCGAGCCCTCGACTGGGGTAGTCCTGGTGGCCTGGGCCAGAGGGTGGGGTGGGGTGGGGGCCACCCCAGGGCCTTCTCGACGCCCGTGCGGGGGTTTGTGCTCTTCCCCTCCAGTGAGGGGCGTGGAGGGCTTCCGCGTGCTGTCTACCGACTACAGCTATGGCGTGGTTGACATGCGCCTGGGGCGGGCCGGCCGGACTTCCAAGACCCTGCTGCTCTTCAGTGAGTCCGTGGCGCCCTCCCTGGTGGCCCGTGTCAGGCAGTGTGTGTGTGTGGGGGGGGGGTAGCTGGGAGGAGATATTGGCAAAGGGCTCTGGATACACACCAGGGCCCGGCGGCTTACATAGGACATTACTTCTGCTGGTCTCGGGGTCTCGGGTGCCCGCGGGCTGGGGTGTTGGGGAGACCGTCCTCCTGGTGGGTCCTCGTGTGGCAGAAGAGCTCTGGCCACTTCCTTCTTACAAGGGCCCAGCCTGGGGACCCACCCTCATCACGCCCAAGGCCTACCCTGGGCCATCACCCGGGGCTTCCCCAGGGAAGGGGGCACAGCGCGCAGCCCACGGTGTCAGGCCTGGTCCACAGGGTGCAGGCTGGCAGGGGTGGCGTGGAAGGTGGGCTGGTGGACGGCACGGCTGAGGGATGAGCGGGTGGTTAGGATGGTGGCGACGTGTGATGCCCTGGACGTTGTGAGCACACAGATAGGGCTGCAAGGTGGCCAAGGCTGGGGGGTCAGGGGGCGGCCACTGAAGAGGGGAGGTCAGACCTCCACGTGGGCAGAACCCTCCCCAGGGGCTGAGGCAGAAATGGGGGAGCAAGGAGGTGGTGATACACGAGGTAGGACGTGGACCAGGAAGAGGCTCTGCCCAGGATGGGTGGTGGGCAGGGGGCACGATCCACTACCAGGCACAGAGGTGAGAGGTTTGGGGGTGAGCAGCTCCGGTAGAGATGGAGAGGGCAGGAGGGCTCGATGCAGCTGGAGGGGCCCCTGGCCGGAGGGGAGGAGGTGACCCCGTGCAGCAACCCCTCCTCCAGAGCCTCGATGGGGACACACACATTTTCCTGCCACCCACCCAGGGTGGTCTTGCGTTCACAGCAACCCTCGCTTCTCCACCCTATGTCCCATACACTCAGAGGGCATCTGGGGCAGGGGGACTGTGGGCAGGGCTGGGGGACACAGCTGCCCAGGCAGCCGGAGCTGGAAATGATGTAATTACTCCCCTTCCCACCCACAGGCAGACACACCGTGTCCAGCTTCCTGAGCATGAGAAAGTTTATAGACATATGTGAGATCCGGGAGCTCACGAGGGGTGCAACCGTTCTCCCGAAAGATGGTAAAACACGGCCGATAGGCTTTTGGGTCACCCTGCTAGGGCCAAGGAAGGGTCCGATGGCCCCTTGTGACAACTCGAACCCTGTGCAGGCAGGCCCCAGTGCCCCCCCTGGCCGCCAGGGCACACGTGCTCACCTGGCCAGGTGGCTGCAGGACGGGTGGCTGGCTTCACGCTCTGCGGGGCCCCAGACGAGCATGCCCGAGACCGGGGAGAGCAGCCCAGAGCTCCCAGCAGACAGGCCCGCACCTCACCGCCCCGTCCTCTCCCGCAGCCTCCTGTGCACACACCATCCTGCCCTGAGAGCCAGCCGCCCACCTGCCCCTTCCTTCAGGGCTCGGCACGTGGTCGCCAGGTCCCGGAGCATCCTTCCAGGCTGCGGGTCTGCCCATCCAGCTGCTTGTGGAGAGGTGTTCGGTGATCCCCGGCCACTCGTGGTGCGAAACCCAGGGCCGTGGCCCAACCCTGAGGCGTCCTTTCCAGTCCCCGGCCCCTTCTGCCGTGTCCTTTGGATTACGTGGCAGAGAGAGGCTGCTGTCCCCCACCTGCTGTGAAATAGACCACGGGCTGGTCCACTGTCAGCCTTGCTGTGTGTCTTCTGTGTGGCGAGTCCACCACCCACTCTGCACCCTCGACCTCCACACTTTCTCAGGAAGCCACTTGCTTGTTTGCTACCAGCTCCTGGGCACCATGCTAGCTCCTTGGGCAAGTGGGGAGCGGAACAGGCAGAGCCTCTCAGAACTGACACCCTGGTAGGGGGCAGACGTGGGTGCCGTCACCAAGCAGTTACAGAGGCTGAGAAACAGACCCAGAGGGACAAACAGCAGCAGGCAGGGAGGGCTTCTTGGAGGAAGAGCCATGTCAGTTGAGAGTGGAGAGGGGTGGGCGTTAAGCTATGGGGTCTGGGGGCAGGAGGCCCTGGAAGAGGACCTAGCCTTTGAAACCCCCCTTGGGGACAGCGGTGATGGAGATGGGCCTGCACTCAGGAGCCGCTGGGAAGGGCGAGGGGATGGACTGGGAGGGGGAGAAGAGGGACCACCTGAGGACGAAATAATGGACCGGATCAGGTGGGCAACGACCTTGTCACAACATTCACGACATTCGACGTCCCTGCTGGTACCAACACGAATGGATGCATCCTGCCCAGGAGTACACGGCCCGGCTCGGGGTGCAGGAGGGGCGAAAGCCCCAGGCCCCGGGCGCAGTCTGCACCGGGTGTCCCCGCGGCCACACAGCTCCTGTCCCCGCCCCATCTTCCCTCTCAGGCTCCCAGTCTCCTCCGCTCAGGGTGTTGGGCTTGGATTTGGGATCTGGGCGTGTGACATCAGCAGCCCCATCAGAGAGAAACGGGACATAGCCGGGGCTCATACCCTGGGGTTCCTTGGAGCTCGTGACTTGGGGTGGCTCCCACTCCCGCCGGCCCTCCTCGTCACGTCTGTTACTTGCCTCGGGCACCGCGGCGGTTCCCGCGGGGAAGTGGGCCCCTGGCCCGTGCGTCCCAGCACCTCCGCTCGCGCCTCCAGCGCGCCCACGGCCGCCTCGCCCACGCAGCGTCCGCGCCGGGCCCTCCCCCGGCCTCTGGGCGCACGCGTCCCTGAACCCCGCTCTCACACGGAGCCAGCCGGGCCCTCCCCCGGCCTCTGGGCGCACGCGTCCCTGAACCCCGCTCTCACACGGAGCCAGCCGGGCCCTCCCCCGGCCTCTGGGCGCACGCGTCCCTGAACCCCGCTCTCACACGGAGCCAGCCGGGCCCTCCCCCGGCCTCTGGGCGCACGCGTCCCTGAACCCCGCTCTCACACGGAGCCAGCCGGGCCCTCCCCCGGCCTCTGGGCGCACCCGTCCCTGAACCCCGCGCTCACACGGAGCCAGCCGGGCCCTCCCCCGGCCTCTGGGCGCACGCGTCCCTGAACCCCGCTCTCACACGGAGCCAGCCAGGCCCTCCCCCGGCCTCTGGGCGCACCCGTCCCTGAACCCCGCTCTCACACGGAGCCAGCCGGGCCCTCCAGGCAGCGCGCCAGGACCCCGCTCAGGAAACGGGCGCCGCCCCCGCTGGTCGGGGCAGGTGCAGCTCGGCGGCTGGGCGGTCGGGGCGGGCGGGGAGGCAGCCGGTGCAGGGCCCTCCCACCGCGGGGCGCCCTCCAGGGGTGACGTCAGCAGGTCCCGCAGAGGGCAGCGCGGGCTCAGCCTCGGGATGTTTGGGGTCCTGCTGACCGGGCCCCACCCGCACGGGGCCGCGGCCCAACCTGCTCGAGCTCCGAGCCTGTTTCCTCTGCTGGACACGGGACCAGCGCCCCAACCTCAGGAGGCTGCACTGGGGTTAAAGCGGGGGCAGGAGGGCTCCCCAAGTGCACCCCCTGTCCCGCGGTGCTGCTGGGAGGAAAGGGGAGGGGCTCACAGCAGGAGGGGCAGGGTGACGCGGGGGTCCCCGGGTCCCCCAGGCTGAGTCTGGGCACCAGGAAAGTGGCGGGTCTATCCCGTGACCCCGATGCCCCACGAATCCTTAGCTGGATCAGCGGTAGGTCGTGAGCTCAGGGATGGGGGTCCCAGGCAGTTAACGGGGCAGGGGACTCCTCGCACCAGTGTCAACCCTTTGGTGTGGCGCATGCGTGCTGCGCGGGGTTGAGTAGCGTGTATGCAGAACAGTAGGTGTTGCGCATGCGTGCTGGGGCAGAGTCGCGTGTCTGCAGGAACGGTTGGTGTTGCGCGTGCGTGTTGTGGGGCAGAGTCGCGTGTCTGCAGGAACGGTTGATGTTGCGCGTGCGTGTTGTGGGGCAGAGTCGCGTGTCTGCAGGAACGGTTGGTGTTGCGCGTGCGTGTTGTGGGGCAGAGTCGCGTGTCTGCAGGAACGGTTGGTGTTGAGCATGCGTGTTATGGGGCGGAGTCGCGTGTCTGCAGGAACGGTTGGTGTTGCGCGTGCGTGTTGTGGGGCGGAGTCGCGTGTCTGCAGGAACGGTTGGTGTTGCGCGTGCGTGTTGTGGGGCGGCGTGTCTGCAGGAACGGTTGGTGTTGAGCATGCGTGCTGCGGGCGGGGTCACGTGCGTGCAGGAGTGGGTTTGAGGCTTGGCTGCCCTGCCAGACTGCACCGCAGCTGGTCCTCAGCTCCTGTGCGACCCTCATGGGACAGCTGGGAAACTGAGGCCTGGAGGGGCAGGGATGGGCCCGAGGCCACGAGGTAGGCAGAATCCAGGTTAGCAGGAGCCTCAACTGCGCACTGCCGCCCACGTGGCGTCATTGCTGAGCACCCCGGCAGACTCAAGTGTGCACGGGCTCAGGGGTGCCGACACAGGTGTGCACACACATGCACACTAGGAAGTCACGGGAGGGACAGACCAGAGGCTGGAGGCGGCTCTGCCATCTGGAGGGGAGACACGCCAGGTGGGTGGGCACCGGGTGCCCAGGGCTGCCTGGGCAGGAGCCATCCCGGGCCCCTGGCGAGGACAGGGCCTGGGGTGCTGTGTCCTCAGAACAGAGGGGCTGCAGGAGAGGGGGCCCCGGTCCTCCAGTCGGGGTGCTAGGACTGAGTGGCACCAGGGGCCTCGCTCTCCCTCCGTGATCCCCTGTGCTCCGAGCCTTTGGGAAATGCTTTGTGCTCCCCGGGGTCCTTCTGAGCAGTCTCGGGGTTCAAGGGTCCTGGGACCTGGGGAGTGCAGAAGGTGCGCAGCCCTGGACCACTGGCCCGAGGGGACCATGGACAAGGCCGTCCTCGTTGGCACCTTGGGGTCCTCACTTGGAAGTGGGTCCGAGTCCTTGCCCTGGCTGAGGAGGCCTCGTGAATGAACCGGACACCAGGACAGTGTGGGGAAAGAGGGGAGTGAGAGAGGCTCTAGCACCCCAGACATGCCCCCGCAGCCTGCAGGTCCTCTTTGTCCTCTGGGCCCTGGTGGAGCCACTGCCTCGAGGACCCCAAACAACGGAGTGTGTGGTTCACGGTTTCCGCCTGGGGCTGCAGCGCTGGGGCTGACCTCTAGGGGGCGGGCTGAGCCCACAGAGCGCAGTGGAGCCGCTGGAGCAGGAAGGGGCAGCCAGGGCTGATCTGGGCATCCCTGCCTGGGACCCGGCGTGCACCTTTCGTTTCTCGTCTGCACATCCACAGTGTGAGCTGCTCGGAGGAGCTCTGAGACCCTGTCCTTATTCATCCGGTTTCTGTGCCCCCAGCGCTCACGGGAGCAGGAGCTGCAGGAGGTCCCTGCCCTCCAGGAGCTCACAGCCTGGAGGGGCAGATGGACCGAGGCACACGTGCAGTCCGCACGGGAGAGAAGAGCAGTGCTGTGGGGAAAGGGGGCAGGGCCCTTGGTGGGGTCTAAAGGTCTCCAGGGTGACATTTATGCTGTGACCAGGACAAGAGGAGCCAGCCCTGCACAACTCTGGGAACAGTGCACTGGGGGAGCCTCAAAGTGCAGAGACTCGGAGGCAGGAGAGAATCCAGCCAGTGCCTGGAGAGGGCTGGCATGGGGGAGATGTGGGGTGGGAGCAGGGCCAGGCCGGGCCCAGAGGGGTGTGCTAGTCGTCCCTGCTGTGTGACAGCAGTGCCTGACTTAGCACTTACAAGACCAGACATCCACAGTCTCTCAGTCTTTGGACCAGGGTCCATTGCGGCTCAGCGGGAGCCCTGCCTCAAGGTTTCCCGGAAGGCTGGGGCTGCGGTCTCGCTGAGGCTCTGCTGGGGTGGGGTCTGTCTCTGAGGCCAATCCTGGGTTATCGGCAGGATCCAGTTTGGATGGGGAGGTCTCAGGTCTTTTCTGTCTCTGGGCTGAGCCCCCCTTGGTAATTGCACTGGTGCCCGATAGGGCAGTTCATACCTGCTCCTGTTTCCTCAGATCACTGGACAGAGACAGGGGGGCGGAGACAGAGGGACAGAGATGGGGATGGAGACAGAAGGGCAGAGACAGGCAGAGACAGAGGGACAGGGACAGGACAGAGACCACACAGGAGAGAGGGGACCAGTAGCAGTCACAGACTTTGCACAACTCTATCTCGAATGACAGCCCATCATTTTGTCCTGTTATTGTTCCCAGAACCCAGTCACAAAGTCTGTCAGCGTTGGGAGGGGGCAGTCACATGGGGATGTGGGACCAGGAGGCGAGAGCGCTGGGAGCCGTCATGGGGCTGTCCAGCACACAGGCCTAGCGGAGGTGCTTGGCCCTGGGTCCATCCATAACGGGAGCCCTGGAAGGTCATATGCCATAGGCAACCAGGTTAAGGTCACTGTCATTGCAGAGATCCACCTAGGAGATGGTGAGGAACTGGTCTACAGGAACACCCACCCCGACTCCCTGAGTGAGGGCCGGTACGCCAGACCACCA